CAGCCGGGGATTTCCACACACTTCAGGAAGAACCTGCGGGAAAGGGAGAAGTGCCTGGCCGGGTGAAAACGAAAGTTGCAGTTTTCGGGAAAGTCCCTTTCCATATGACCCGTAGGCACCCCCTCTGTGTGCTGACAGTCCTGGGATGGAGGGGTCCCTGGGCAAATTCACACCACACAGTTCCCCAGGCTGTGCCTCTCTGCAGAGGAATGGTGGAGCTGCCTGGTCACCGGGCCTGGGGAAACCTCCATACCCTGGGGCTCTGGATGGCACAAGACTGTAATCCTAGAACTCCTGAGGCTGAGGCAGGAGGCTCCCTGTTTGAGACCAGCCTGGACTACATACTAAGACCCTGTCTCAAAAAAATTTAAAAAGTGTGCGCCCCCCCCCCATACATACACAACCCCTCCAACGTCATCCTGAAGGGACGTCCCAAGACAGGGACATGTTGCTGCAAGTGTGCCTGCCAGGGGCTTCCGTGAAAGACCAGCCAGGAGGCCTAGTGGCCTCAGGGACTCCTGCTTCTGGCTGGGTGCGGGGCCTGGGGGTTGGTGAGGCTACCACATCACAGAGGTCGCTGCTTCACTGGAGCTCTCCCTGAGCATGCCCCGCCCTCACAGAAGGTGACCATGTCCAGGTGCTGTTGGCCCCAACCCAGGCCCCGAGGCCTGGGGGAGCTGACTCGGGTGTGAACTGTCACCCGTAGGAGTTGTTGGCGGCTGGCAATTCCAGTTCTGGTTCTAGTTCTGGTTCTGGGAGTGTGTGTCTGGGTACAGCTGCCCTGGCAAGGCCCCCAGCCCAGCTTTGTTGACCATGGAGGACTCATGGCCGAGCTTCCTGTGGCTCAGGAACAGCCACTCTACCCTCTGAGCATGTTCCTGGGTGCTTTCCTGGCCCTTGCACTCAGACACAGAAGACACAGACGTACCTGGGTGCTCCAGGCCTCGCCGTGAGGGTCCTCAGCCAAGAACTTCAGCCACCCGCAGAGCTCCTTCTGGTTTTCATTTTTAACCATTTGTTCTTTTTTCTTTTTTGAGAGAGAGAGGGCCTCACTGTGAAGTTCAGGTTGGCCATGAACTCTTGGCCATTCTCCTGCCTCAGCCTCTTGAGTCCTGGAATTACAGGTGTGCACAAGGACACCTGGCAAAAATCTTTTTTTATCAGTGAGTGTTTGCAGTACATGGCAGTGACAGTGGGGAGTGGGTCTTGTCCTCATCCTTTTTATGTCCCTTCCCTTTTCCATCTCTTCATCCTCTTCCCATGTGCAAAAGATCTCTGTTTCCTATTATCTTTCTGTTTGTTTGGCTGGTTGAGCCAGTCTCACTGTGTAATTCAGGCTGGTCTTGAACTCATGGCATCCTCTTGCTTCTGCCTCTCCAGGGCTGGCATTACAGGCGGGCCCCACCACATCTGTCTTCTGTCTTTTATTTTGGAGTGCTCATTCTAAATCCTTTCTCCTTACCATTGCCAAGATCTTCTTCCAGCAGGTCTTACTTTTCTGCTGGGCTGCACTCTGCCCCTCGAGTTCCCGGAGCTGCTGTTGGCTGCTTTCTGCATTGGGGCTGGGGACAGGAGCCAGCCCTGGCCTGCACCGGGGTCACCCGCACCACTGAGCCCGGCCCACACCATCATCCTGTCTTTTTGCTTTACCAGGCTGCTGGGGCCCCCAGAGCCTGTGCAGTGTGGCTGGCCGGGGGCGTCCACTTGCTGACCCTCAGGGACTAGGATCCAAGTCCTCACCCTGTGCTCGTAACCTGTGGGCAGCATGGTGTGGCTTCTGTGGGCTAGGCCAACCAGTCACTAGATTTGAACAACTGCATTAGGGGCCCCTCGGTGGGGTAGCTGGGGCAGGCAGGCAGGTGGGGGCTCTGTTCTGCAGCAGGCGTGGGGGCACCCATGGGCTCCTGACTTCCGCTTCTTCCTCCTGTGTGCATCCTGGCTGTTCCCCAACCCTCAGGATGACAAAGCTTGCGATGAAGCAACCTGGGGCCTGGAAATGAGTCACCCTCTAGAGCCAAGAGAGCTGGGCATCGGGGTGGCCATGTGCCTTCCAGGCCCCAGGAAGCCTGCAGACGCCTGTGGATGGGACCGTGGTGGTGGGGCCTTGAGATTCTTGTGACAAGTACCTGCTTGAGCCAACACATTCGTGGGAATTAGTATACTTTTCGAGGCTTCCTGGACAGGGGTGAGCCACGCTAGCCATGAGTTCATGTGATGACTTTTCCCAGCAGCCACGTCTTCAGAGTCGCAGACCGTCTTCAGAGTCGGCTCCTTTGGGGGTCTACTCAACCACCCTGTCCAGAGCAGCAGGTGGCACTTCTGGTGGGGATCACTTTGGAGACCTCAGGAAGAGGGACACTGGCCACTGTCACCTGTGGCCCTGGGACCCATGTGCCAGAGAGGCTTTCCTGGGGGAAGCGCTCTGCCCACCTGCATGTGTGCAGAAACTGCGGAGCCAGAAGCCCAATGGCCCTGCCCTGGGCCCTCTTCAGGGCTGGACCCCTGCCACCTGCTGTAAATGTGCAGCTGGTCCAAGGTGTGCCTGGTCAGCTGTATAACCTTGGTCTGGATTTGGTTTCCCTGGAACACTGGGCACAATCAGTATCCACTTCTTAATGATTGGCTATTTATGGCCCAGCAGATCCTGCTGGGATCCCCTGGACAGGGCAATTCCTGCCCTGGGCCTTGGGACAATCCCCTGTTCTCCAGGGCAGCCCCCAGCACGGCACACATCGGCCATGGCCTCACTGCCCTGACCGAGGGACTGCTGGCCCTCCCACTTTAGCTGAGCTGGGGTCGTTGTCTGCCTGGCTCTCGGTCTCCAGAGTGGGATGTGGAGCTACCTACTTCTCCGGGGCCGCCCGTGGGAAGGAAGCCCTGGGATGAGAACTAGGCATCCGGTCTGGGAGAGAGCGAAGGAAGTCCAGGGCTCCTGGCCCATTACCTTGGGGCGGGAGCTCGGGTCACCCAGGCCGAGCCCAGCTCAGAGGATGTGGAGTGAAAGTGGGAGAGGTGGCTTCCGGCCAGCATGCAGGAAACCACTGGACGTGTGGATGTGGAATCTTGGGTTTCACTTTCAGTAATAGTAGAAATGAAAACTAAAGCACCAGTTTACAAGAAATAACAGTTGGAGTTGGAAAGCTAGAGAGATAGCTGGTTGCTTTGTTCATTGCTGAGACAAAATACCTGACCCTCACAAGTCGGAGGAGAGGGGTTTATTTCAGATCACAATGTACAGAGGCTTCATCTATACTCTGCTGGCTCCGTGGCAGGGTGGGGTGGCAGAGGGGCACTGCAGAGGAGCAGCAGTCTAGCAGGTCAGGCAGGAGGCAGCAGCAGCAGCAGCATGGAGCCTGCCTTTCCCTTTCACCCCTTTCAAGCCACAAGTCTTTCGGGCGATGCCACCCACACCCAGTACAGACCAACCCATGGCTACTTTAACACTACACCCTTAGCTGCAGTGTCTCGTACCCTCAATCTAGCCAGCTCCAGAGAGCCCCACCTATGGGCTGTGGGCTTTGGGGATATCTAGACACCACCATAACATAATCTGGGGCACAGATGGGATGTAAGTCCCTGGCTAGTTAGGGACACCGTCCCCATGCCGATAGGAACACAGCTGTGTTCCAGCAGGGAGTGGGCTGATCTCAGGTGCCACAGTGCAGTGTGTGAGGGTCCAGGCTGGGACTACGGGCTGCTTGGTTCTCTGGCCAGCTGATGGATCTGTCTGTGCTGTTAGCCATTAGCCAGTAGGTCACAGACCTGAGGGTTTGCCCGTTCTTTGGGATACTTTCCTCTTACTTTCTTTGGTCTTGGTGACCTCTGCTTTTCTATGCTGATTAATTCCTTCTTTCATTTTTAAAAACCAGGCGGAAAATTGTTTTAGGCAGAGGCATCAGCACAGTTCTCCCTTTGTCCCAGTGAACTATGGTGGCAGAGACTTGGGAAAGAAAATGCTCCCAGGACCATCGGAGCTTCCTGGCCTGCCCCGTCCTGCTTTGTGCTGTCCCCAGCCACTGCCTTCTGGAATCAAGTCCCTGGTGTATTCTCTGTGAGGAGTGTCAGGATCCTGGAGTGCTACCCAGAGGAAGAGAATCCTGGCTCTCGTGACAGTGCAGAAGCATTTCTGCCTTTCATTTTTAATTTAATTAATTAAAGTTGTTTTGAGACAGGCTCTCGTGTGTAGCCCAGGCTGGCTTTGAACTTGAGACAGTTCTCTTGCCTCAGCCTGCCACGTGCTGGGATGACGGGGGTTTGTTTTGGGTTACGTCCATTCTGTGTTCCACTGTTAGCATGTTGGGCCCGGTGCCCAGGGTATGTGGCTGACTTTCGTAGGGAGGAAACACCTCCGTTGCATGCAGGGTGGCCTCCCCTTGCAGCTCCTCTCTACAGCTGCTCCTGAGAGCACACCGGTGTCACAGTGCTGTAACCAGGACTGGGCAGCTGGGGAGCTGCCTGAGTGCCTGCTGTCCCTAGCTGCTCACCTCTCCGCCCCACCTTGACCAGTGGCAGAGTCGCCTCCTGCTGCTGTAGAACATGGCACAGTGGGTGATGTTGGGAATCAGGAGCCACGGGAAGATCATAGGCTCAGACATCTTTGAAAAGGCTGGTGTGGGGTGGGTGTGTGGGCACATGGGAGGCTGAGGCAGGAGGATCATCATGAGTTCGACGTCAGCCTGGGCTACATTTTGAGTTCAAGGTCAGCATGAACCACATGAAACAACCCCCCAGAAGTCCCAGGGGGAAGAAGCAGGGCTGTCTGCTTGGAGGCAGTGAGTCCCAGTTTGAGTGCTAACACTGGAGTGTGTGTGATCCGTTTGTGCAAACTGCTTCCTGCGCCCAGGAGCCCGGGCTCTCGGGTCACTTCCCTGGTTAGTCAGACCCTTCCCTGGCCATTGGTGTCCTGGTGCTTCTATCTCCAGCCACCCCAGGCCCTGTCCTTTTGTGGTGTGGTGGGGGCTCCAGGCCCACATGGTGACCTCTGTCTCCTCTTTCCCCAGGGCGGGAGCAATTCCATGGCCTGGGCTCCATGTACTGCCGGGGCGCGGCCGCCGTCATCCTCACCTACGATGTGACGCACCCGCAGAGCCTGGTGGAGCTGGAGGACAGGTTCCTGGGCCTGACGGACTCGGCCAGCAAAGACTGCCTGTTCGCCATCGTGGGCAACAAGGTGGACCTCATGGAGCAGGGCAGGGAGGGAAACGGCGGCCCCCATGCCTGTCCCAGGTCGCGGGAGGTGTTGCGGGAGGACGCAGTGGCCCTGTACAAGAAGATCCTCAGGTACAGGATGCTGGACGAGAAGGACATGCCGCCTGCTGAGCAGATGTGCTTTGAGACCAGCGCTAAGACCGGGTACAATGTGGACCTCCTCTTCGAGACTGTGTTCGACATGGTGGTGCCCATGGTCCTGCAGCACAAGGCTGAGGAGCCGGTGGAGACTGTGGACATCACTAGCCAGAAGCCCCCCAAACATACCAGATCTGGGTGCTGCACCTGAGCCACCTTGGGACTGACTCCCTGTGAGGAGTGTGGGGCATCGGGGTCGCACGGAGGATGGCAGAGTGGAGGTGTCTGCTGGTCACCGCCTCTATGTGCATGGATGCTAGCCACAGAGCTGGGATGCCTGTGCTGCTGTCCCGTGCCCCATGTGTCCCCATGGCTCCTCTGTGACTGCTATCTTTGTGCCATGGAGTCTGTGGTCGGGGCAGCTGTGTGGCACCTGCCTGTGCCTATGGGTCACTACACCTGGCAGCTCTGTCCCTTGCCGCTGTCCCCAAAAGTCTCTCTGCACCACCTCGTCCTGGGGTCCTTCCCACCCCAGTACTTGTTGCCTTAGAGCAGTGACTCTCCACATCCAGTTTATACACAGCCAGGAGTGACTTTCATGTCAGAGGAAGCAGCATGGCCTTCGGATTATTAAAATCGATTTTGGGAAAAGCCTGGTGTGGACACTGCTGATTTGGGCCCGGAAACCCTGGTGTCTTTCAGGAGAAAAGGGCCAAGCTGTTACCCTGACAGCTCCTGCTTGGAGGCCGCGGGGCTGGATGAGTCCTTCTGCCTCCTCCTTTCTTCTCTCCTTCCCTTGCTCCTTCCTTCCTTTCTGGCTCTCCTGCCCTGGGAACTGAACCCAGGACCTTCACACTGAGCTGCATCTGTAGCCCTTTATGTTGTTTATTTTGAGACAGTATCTCACTAAACTGCTGAAAGACTCAGGCTGGGCTTGACCTTGCAGTCCTCCTGCATCAGCCTCCCAGAGTGCTGGGATCGCAGGTGTGTGAATCCCCATATTTCTTACTGATGTGCCATCTGCTCCGAGCACCCACACCTGGCATTCCTGGCCCACTGCACGCCTGGTGGCTGGAGTGGGTGGGTGCCATTGGTCCTACTGGAGGACACCAGACCCCAGCCTGGCTCCTCGCTGGCCTCCCAGGGAGGGGGCTGTCCTTGGGCAGCATGACTTCTGTGGGGTGATCTGGCTGGAGATGGCACTGACTCAGCCTGCCCCTGGGTGTGGTCTGGGAGCCTGCCTATGCACCCAGGTACACACATGCTCCTGCTTCACGGTGTCCTCAGACAGATGGAAAGTGCTGTGTGCTTTCCCACACCCTGGCAGCACCACGCCTGGGCTCCCTGGCTTCTTAGGTGGGCAGAGATGTGGAGCAGCTGGTTTCCCTGTCTCAGCTGAGCTCTCGCCGCACGTGGGTGACCTGGCACTCAGAGCCAGGGCCGAGGGTGAGACGGCGAATCTGGGGGAAGAGCAGTGAGCTTCCTTCCTTCCCTTCCCTCCCCATCTCCAGAGGACCCTGAACATTAGTGCCCCCACTGAGGGCAGCGACCGGCCACTCAGGCCCGAGGGAGGGGCCATCTTGCCAGAGCTGTCTTCCTGGCACTAGGTGGGGAGAGCCCAGGATGCCACGTGCTCGGCGAGGCTCCACTAGAGTCAGGCCCTGCCCTCCTTCCACTGTGAGACATGGTCTCGCTAGGTTGCTCAGGCTGGCCGGGTGCCTGCTGCCCTCCTGCCTCGGCCTATGGTGTACCTGGTTACTGAAGTGCATCACTGTAGCTACCTATTCTGCGAGGTGTCAGGGGAGACCGGCTTACTCCCTGAGTCCTTGCCCTCCTGCCCGCCTTGGGCTGCCAGACCTTCGCAGGCCTTTGGGCAGGAGGCCTGCAGATGGCTGGAGGCAGATCTATCCCCTCCCTTCCCTTTGGGTGCACCAAGTTCATTGCTTGTCCCTTGACAAAAGAGGACGAGGACCCGAGGCCCACATCACAGACAGTACCTAAGAGGACAGTGTTTGCGGAAGCCGAGTGAGACCACCCAAGTCTACCAGGAGTCCAGCTCAGGGTCCTACCCCACGGCCCCGCCCCTGGCTCTACCCAGTCAATTCCTGGCCCCGCCCACCCTAGACCCCACCCTCACCCACTGCCCTCTTCCTGGTCCAGATCATACCCAGCTGCCCATCTAGGGACCAGCCTGGGCGGAGCCGGGGGTGGGCGAAGGGCAGGGGGCAGGGCCAGGAGGGTTGAGAGGGGAGAGGGCTCGGAGCAGGGTCATAGGGGTCAGAAGAGCTATAGGGTAGGGGCAGGCCCGGGAGAGTTATAGAGGGGCGGAGCCTGCGGGAGTCAAGGGAGCAGTGAGAAAATGCAGTCAACACTCCGGGTTTAGAAATGTTTAAAACCAATTTTTATTTTAAGGCTGTTATACGGGAGGGGCAGAGGGGAGCAGCTGGCTGCAGGGGACGGGGTGGGGGCCAGGTGCACGCAGGAGGGGCACCACTTCCCTGGGCCCCCACTGTCAGGTGTGAGGTGTGAGCACCAGAAGTATGCACATTGGCACAGCTTGGAGAATCCCGGACACAGCTCACGCCACCTCTGCAGGGCCCGGGGACCCCAGGCCAGGCGAGTCCGTGGCCCAGGCAGCGGTGGAGGTGAGGAGGTCACAGCTGCCCGTGGTGCGGGGACTCGGAGGTGGGAGCCACACCTGGTCCTGCAGTGTCCTGCTCCTCTGGCGGGTGTGGCTTGGAGGGGAGGGGCCGGGCCGGGGCCAGCGTCCTAGGAAAGGGGTGAGCACCACGCCGGCCGCCCGCTCGGCCCTCACAAGTTCTTCATGCACACCTGGCAGCGGCTGATGTGCGTGCGGATGAGGCCGGCCTTGAGCGTGTCAGCTGAGGGCGAGCCCTGGAAGCTGGCCTCGGGGATGGTGGTCAGCCAGAAGCTGTACTTGTTGGCGAAGTAGTGGCAGGTCCCTCGGGCGCCGTTGCACTCAATGAATGGCGTGGCCCTGAAGTCCTCCAGGCAGCTGCCCGGCGACACCAGGGACTGGCCGCCACCCTCGTCCCCTGCGGCCGTGTGCTGTGGGGGTGCAGGAGGGGTTAGGGTCCTGGCTGGATGCTGGGGCAGGCGCTGCTTGCTGCTCTGTGGTTTACTGGATGGCAAATTCTGGGTTGGCGTGGACATGGACCCAAGCCACATGCACGCGTACAACACACACACACACACACACACACACACACACACACACACACACTGAGCTCAGTTGTCTGCTGCTGAGGGAACCGGGTGTGGGGCGAGGCCCGGACGCTGGGGGCTCGGTGGAGCTGGGCAGGGGCACAAACCCAGGGCCAGGGTGTCACTCATATACATGAGCCATGACTCGGGCCTCAAGCAGACCTGGACGGCTACATTTTGATAAAAGCAAAACCTAAACAAACCTACCCAACCATTCATTCAAACCTAAATGGCAGGGTGAAGAGATGAAAACATAAAACGTGTTTTTTTTTTTTTAATCAATACCGGGGATCGAACTTAAGACCACCTGCTTGCAAGGCAGGTGCTTATGCTGCTGAGCTACATCCCGAGCCCCAACATAAAACATTTTAAAAGTAACATTAATAGCCAGGTCTGTACCCCAACACTCTGGGAGGCTGAGGCAGAAGGAGTGTAAATTCCAGACCAGCCTGAGCAAGTCATGAACTTAGTGGGAGACTGTCTTGAAAAGAAAAGAGTTTAAAAGACCGAGGAGGCAGCCAGGTACCACGACCGTGGATCCAGTCTCCGGATCACCATAAAGTGATATGGACTGACGAGTGGGTCCCACCTTCAGCCCTCAAGTTAACGGGGCATCGGAGTGAAGTATGGGCCGGAAGGGGGAGCTGTCCTGGTGACTCTTTTCTTAAAAGAAAGATCAGCAGGTGACAATGCTTCCAAGCAGACAGGGCTCCTGGTGTAACTAAGAGTTCCCCCCAGGGGTGAACTGCTAGGCTGCAAGGCTTCTGGGTTTGCAGGGAAACCAGTTTGGGGATAAGTTCTACTTCCGGTGGCACTGACATGATTGGCTTCTCCTGGGGTGTGGGGGGGCCCCGATCTCGACCTCAGCCTTAACACGAAGGGTGGCCTGGCTTGGCTCTGCCTGTCGCCTGGGCGAGGCCAGGGTGACCTCAGCTCTGAGGGACCCAGCAGCCCTAAGGAGCCTCCAAGGAGTGCAGCGCCCACCTGCTCAATGCTGCAGACACTGGGCTGGGGGCCAAAGGAGGACGCCCAGAGGGGACAATGGGCCCCAGGACAGGGCCAGGGACTTGAGGTGAGGATCCCTGGAGGAGGCTGGGCTGGCCTGGGGGGCTCTGAGCGTGCCGCACTTGCACACGTGCACATGTACACACTCACACACACATAGATATACACGCAAGCAAGTGCTCCAGGGGTCATGTAAAACAGCAACCTGAGATCTCTTGTCCTCGAGTGTGCACTGAAGGCCACTGAGGGCGTGTGAGGTCTCAGGAGGACTCACACAGGACCAAGGGCCTTAAAGCTGTGGCCTCCTCAGCCTCAACCTCTTGTGAAGGCCTTTGCTCCTGTGCCAAAGTAAAGGCCAAATTCATCCCAGGCTCACTGTGTGCAAAACTTTGATTTAACAGCGTCCCTCTGGACGAGAACAGCACCATCCCTGGACCCAGAGCTCCGTAAACAACATGCAAGCTGTCTTCTAGCCCCCTCCCCTTCTCATTCTGTGGCTCAGGTGCCTTTGTGCAGTGTGTCACCTGGACAACTGTCTGGTGTATTATTGCTGTGTCCTTAGTCAACCAGAGGAAGTAGATTTTCACCTGGTTTCATGCAGAGGGGGAGTGGGAGGGGAAGAGAAGGGAGGAGGGGGAGAGAGGGAAAGAGAAGGGGAGGAGGGGAAGGGAGGGTGGGGGAGGGAGAGGAAAGAAGAGGGAGGGAGGAAGGGGAAGGGAGGAGGAGGGGAAAGGAGGGGGAGGAGGAGAAGGGGAGGTGAGGGGCAGGAAAAGGGGAGGGGGAGGGGCACAAGAGGAGTGGGAGGGGAGAGCCACCCACCATGAGGAAGGAGTATCCGATCCATAGGCTGCGCCAGCCAGCCGGGCAGTGGGGGATGGACACGTCCTGGCTGTGCACCGCGATGGCCACGGCTGGGGCCTCACACACGGAGCAGCGGCTGATGTAGGGCCTGATGTCCTCCTCAGCCACGGGCATCATGGGCAGCGGGGCAGTGGTGGACAGCCAGTAGGACTTGTCATTGCGGCTGGCGTAGTAGCAGACGTCACCCGGGTTGCAGTAGAGGAAGGGCATGGTGCTGAAGCGAGCCAGGCAGGAGCCAGCCAGCCCTGCAGGAGGTGTGGGTCAGACAGCGTTGTGGGACAGCCAGGCCCATGCGGCCACCTGCAGGCCACTGAGCTGAGGCTCTGGCTGGCCCTTCCCTCCCGGTACCCGGGTAGAACATGGGCTGGGCGCAGCCCTTCCTTTCTGCTGTGCTGGCCTTGGTGGCCTTGTGAGAGCCTGGCTACTCCACAGCTGGCCCTGCAAACCTCAGACCAAGCTGCGCCTAGGGTGCTGGGCTTCAGAAGTGAAGTCGGGGGGCAGGCAGCTCTCTTGGGGGTTCTTGTGTGATGGTTTGAGACAGACTCTCGCTATGTAGCCTAGACTGGCCTTGAACTAGCAGGGATCCTCCTGCCTCAGCCTCCTGAGTGTGGGGATGACAGGCCTGCCTGGCTTCTCTTGGGGGTTGTTAGTAGCACCAGCCCAAGAAACTATGAGTACCCTAAAAGAGAGTCTTGTTTGCTCATGGGGCTCCACCTCAGCAAGGGCTCTGTTGGAGCACAGGTGGAGTTTAAGGGGAGAGGGAACTGCAAGGGAAGCAGGTTTCCCATTTACACAAGAAGTTTAGGGTCTGGCGATTTAGCTCAGTGACATAAGTGCTTGCTTGGCAAGTGCAAGGTCCTGAGTTTGATCCCCGGTACTGCAAAAAAAAAAAATCAGGTGTGATCCCAGCACTCAGGATGCTGAGGCAGGAGGACTGCCACAAGTTCAAGACTAGCCTGGACTACACATTGAGACCCTGTCTCCAAAAAGCCAAAAATGAAGCAAGAGATGGAGCTAGTGACTAGGGCCAGCATGGCTGGAGCCACATGGGAGCCCGTGGGAATCCATGCCAGGTCATCAGGAGGGCCTGCGGAGACCACAGGATTCGAGGTGGCAGGCGTGTGCCTGCCCAGGGTGCCTACCCAGGTCCTGGTTGTGCGCCTTCTCCTGGCCCTCGAAGTACAGCAGGCTGTAGCCGCTCCACAGCTTGTTCATGCCCACTGGGCACATGGGCTCCTGCTCCGTCTGGCTGTGCTTCACCAGCAGGTAGCCGATGCTGACGCTGCGGCCAGGCATGCCAGGCAGCCCTGGGCTCCCTGGGCGGCCGGGCTCCCCTGGGCCAGAGAACACAGCTCAGCCACTGAGGCCGGAGGCTCCTCCTTGCTCCCCACTGTAGGCTCGGCCACTTGGCCACTCGGCCACTCGGGAGACCCTGCCCCGAGCTCTGCTGGGGCCTGGGTGCCTCCACACAGCCCTGCCACGCCCGAAACCCACTCATCTCCTGCTTGTGCCCACTGCCCGCTCTCCTGCGTGGGTCCCACACTGTCCATGTCTGTGGCCTTCCCTGTGGCCTGTGTGCTGATAAAGTGACCTGTGCCCCATTTTCAAGGCAGCTGCTTCTGCCCGACTCCCTGAGACGGGGCTCATCAGAAAGATTGCAGGGATGCTGGGTACAGGGATGCAGGGATGCTGGGTGCCACTCCCGGCCTGTCCCCTCTTGTACACAGGCACTCGGCCCTGTGTCTCCTGAGCTTAGCAGCCATCCCCTACCTTGCTGACCCTCAGTCCTATGACCCTAACCCCACATTCCACTGGGCACCCTGGGAACAGCAGGAAACCAGGTCCCCCACCCCGTGCACTGCCCTGGCCCTGCTCTGTGCCCTCCACGAACCCCTCAGCAGCTACCTTCTTGGCCAATCGGGCCCTGGTGGCCCACGGGCCCTGGGTCTCCCCGGAACCCAGGCAAAGCAGACACACCGCCACGTCCCTGGAGTCCGGGCTTCCCTGGTGCCCCACGGAAACCTGCAAGATGGCTGTGTGAGGGGTCCTGGAGGGGCAGCCTGAGAGGATGGAGGTGAACCCCAAACCCTGAGCCCTCCCCCTGGAACCCCACCAGCCTCCTACCTGGTTCTCCAGGGGGACCCTGGGGCCCCATCTCGCCCTGAGCCCCGGGAGGACCCCTCCTGCCCTGTGGCCCCATTGCACCAGCTGGAGCCAAGATCCTCTGGGGGATTCCAGCAATCCCGGGGGACCCCACAGAACCAGGGGCTCCTGTGGGGGAGGGGGGGAAGAAGGGCCGTGAGTGTGGAGAGCAGGTCTGCTCTTCCCTGTGCGTATGCAAGGCACCGGCTGCTGGCTACTCACCGGGGAAGCCCTGATCTCCTTTGGGCCCCTTGGGGCCTCTGTCACCCACAGCTCCAGTAGGTCCAATGCTGCCCATGAGTCCGGGTTCACCCCTGGGCCCTGCAGACGGAGGGGACACAAGTCAGGGCACGTCTCCTGTGAGGTGCCCGTCACCTCCACCCTGGCACCACCAGCACCATGGTCACCTTTCTCTCCTGGGACACCGAACACGCCTGGGCGGCCCTGGGGCCCCAGGTCCCCAGCCCATCCTTTGGGGCCTGGGACGCCTGGGGCTCCGGCATTGCCAGTGTCTCCTTTGCTTCCAGGCAGGGCAGCTGGGCCGGGGGGACCCTGGGGCCCTGGGTAACCTGTGGGCGATAGGGAGTTTAGACCAGTCCTGGCCACTGCACTGCGGCCAGATTGAAGTCAACGGCTTTTGTGCTGTCTTGGCCAGTTTGGAGTGCTGGGCCTCTTGGTAACTTTAAAAAACCGTGGTGACCTAAAGTTTCCCATGGTAACTGTCTTTAGGTATAGTTCAGTGGCTTCTGGCACATTCCACTGTTGGCAACCGGCGCACCACCCCTCTCCAGACTTCCATCTTGCTTGTTTGAGACAGTCTCACTATGTAGTTGAGGCTGCCCTCAAACTCATGGCGATTCTCCTGCTTCAGCCTCCTGAGTGCTGGGATGGTCTGTGTGTACCATCACAGCCAAATAGAGCTGCAGAACTTTCAACTCTGCCACAGCCACAGCCCCTCACCCGGGGCAATTCTACTTCCTGCTAGACGGACTTGACCACCCTAGGGGCTCAACGTGAGTGGGACCATGCAGCACTTGTCCTTGTGTGACTGCCATATCTCCCAGAGTATCTGGTCCTCAGTGCTGGTCCATGTTATAGTGAGTGTGTTAAGAGTCTCCTCCCTGTTGAAGGCTGCATAATATTCCACATATGCACCACATTTTCGTTTATCCCTTCATCTGTGGGCAGACTCTGGGGCTGCCTCCCTCTCTGGCTGTCCTGCCCAATGTTGCTGTGGTTACTGATGCACAAGCTGTTGACTGGCAGCCTCCACTCTACACCAGCTCGTTTGCACACTCAGCTTCTATGTGGTTTGGAAGTGTGGACTAAACCTGTCAGCTGAGTGAGGGGAAGCACCACTGCACATCTCTGCATCTCTCCCCTTCGGGGAGTTATGGACACGCCTTGTGCTGGGTTTCTTGGGCACTACCCTGGGCGGGGAGGAACAAACTAGGGACGTGTGGTGATACTGTCTGAGGAAGAAGCGAGGCAAACTGGGTCATATGAGCCATGGCCTGCAATGCCAAGGCCCCACCGATACTCGGGACCCGCCCACTCCATAAGCCACGCCCCAGGAGGCCCCGCCCATGACCCCACCCCACCGCTTACCTTTCAGGCCAAAAATCCCAGGCGAGCCAGCATCCCCTGGCAGCCCAGAGATGTTGGACGATGGGCTGATACCGGGGAAACCTTGCATTCCGGGTCTCCCGGCTGGGCCTCGATCCCCTGGAAGACAGAAGGCCTGTGCTTGGTGCCAGCACCCAGCTTTCCAGACTCATCCCCCACTGGCGGGCTTGGAGGTCCAGCCTCACGAGGTCAGATGGTGACGCAAGGGGAGCCGGGGGTGGGGGGAAGCAGTTGTGTCCTGCAGTTGCTCGGGGTCACCAGCACACGAGCCCCCAAGTGCCTAGCAGGGGCTGCCCCCGCAGGGTCCTCGCCACCATGCTGAGGGACAGCGTCACTCAGCTCTGCCCCTCTGACTCTGTGGGCCCCTGGGGGTCATGCCGCCATTGCCATTCTCTCTAGAGGTATCCCTCAGGTCCTGGGGCCCAGAGGGAGTGGGGTCAGAGGGGTCCCCAGCCATATATGAGGGGGCAATGACCAACACTGGGGCACCCCCAAAGTCACAGCAGCCCCAAGCCATGGTCTCACCTGGAGCTCCTTGTGCCCCCTTCTGTCCAGGTACTCCTGTGGGGCCGGGGAAGGTGTTGGGCTCCCCAGGGTCACCTCTGTCCCCAGCAGGGCCAGGAAAGCCTGGGTCTCCAGGCATGTCCGCACCTGCAGGATGTGAATGCAGGGTGGTGATGAATGAGTGTGGCCATGCCAAAGGGATGTACCCAATAAAGGGACAGTTGGCTACCTCGGGAGCCCAGACTCAGGCGGCCCGGAGATTTATTCCTGATGGAACCCTGCATCAGTATCTCTGACTCCAGGGTCCCACAATTTAGGGGACCCACACTCCAGAGGGGAGGAGGCCCCCGGGGTTGTGCACACCCTGGGTGGTGCTGCGCTTTGATGGGTTTCCAGAACATGCTGATGCTGGGACTCCTCCCTGGCCACCGTCAAGGCCGAGGATTCCTTGCCTCTTCTCACTGCTCTGCAAGTGCTGTTACTGAGTGAGTGCGGGAACACACGCATTCCTGGTGCGTGCAGGCAAGTATTCGGGTACAGGAGCACTGGGAGAATGCGTCTGAATAAAAGCTGCAAGTCCCTGGGTGATGGTCCCCCGTTTAAATGTATTTTAACTGCTCTGCTTAGCCCTGCAGGGGGACAGCAGAAGCTCCTGGAGACCGGGATGCGAGGTGCAGTGAAGCAGACACACGCTGGAGCATCCCGAGGTGTGACCCAGAGAATAAACGGAGCAAAACAGAATAGGGGGGGCAGGAAGCAGGCAGATGCAGAAAGCACTTGAATATGATTCTCCTGCACTGGGCATGGCCAGCTGGCTTTTGTGAATTGTAGGGAAACTGGTATACAGGACCCCCTGCCCTGGCCCCGCCCCACCCCGCCCCATGTGAGGGGTTGCACCCCTGCGCTCACCTGGGGAGCCAGGGGAGCCCTTAGGGCCAGGCAGGCCGTGTAGTCCGCTGATGCCACGCTGTCCCGGGAAACCTGCAGGGTCTCAGGTCAGTCACACAGGGGAGACAGCAGGGTCCTGCTGGTGGAGCCCCCTGGGGCCCCTTCAGCACAGTCCCCTTGGCTTGCCACCAGCCTCTGCATGCACTGCCGGCCCAGCCAGCAGGACTGGGAGCCAGGTGTCCTCTGCTGTGACCCAGGGCCCATGCCAAGTCTACACAGGTGCTGTCAGGGTCTGCAGCTGTGGGCAGAGACCTGAGCACCACTTCCCTTCCTGCAGCCTTCCTGGCTAGCCTCAAACTCACAGGGATCCTCCTGCCTCAGCCTCCTGAGAGCTGGGATTATAGGCTTGTGTCACCACACCCTGTGACGCAACATGAGGTGGCAGTGTGCAGGTGGCCCATGGCACTGCTTGGGCTGATGGGGCCCTCCCAGCTGCACTGTCCTCAAGGCCTTGTGGCCCTCCCAGCTGCACTGTCCAGAGGGCCCCATGCAGGTCCCTGGAGGGTGGCCTCACCTGGCAAGCCGGGTATGCCGGGCCAGCCATCGTCTCCTTTCTCTCCAGGGAATCCAATTCGACCAGGGTCCCCTTGTGGCCCCTGCACCCCTGTCAGTCCCGGGAAGCCTGGAGGGAAACGGTGTTAGTTCAGAGCCCACGGGAGACCCTGGAGGCCCAGGGACTTCATCCCAATATGTGGCCTCCCTGATTGGCGAAGTACACTGGGGCTGCAGCTCCAAGCTGCAGAACTGGAAACTATCCTTGTCTCTCTACAGAGCTGTCCCTCTACAAAGCTGTGGCCCAGGGGCCACCCTTACTTGGTTCAGTGGGGTCAACTCAGCCTTGCTAAAGAGAAAGAAGTACACATGTGTACGTGTGTGAGTATGGGTGTGGTGGCACCAGGGATGGAACCCCAAGACTTTGCACTGAGCTCCTTCCCTAGCCTTTATTTGTTATTTTGACACAGGGTCTTGCTACGCTGCTGGCTGGACTTGAACTTGAGACCCTCTCCCCTCAGCCTCCAGAATATCGTGTGATTGTTTATTCTTGTCCTATCCTGCAGACTCCACTCTGCTAAGGATGGGCGAGTGATGCTTCAGAATCATCCTCTGACCAGGGGTGCACAGAGGGACAGTGGCAGCCATGGTACAGTGGGGATCAGCTCTGGGCAGCACTCTCCACTGACTTGGGGGACAGTCAGTGGACCAACCCCTGCAAGGACCCACATTGTGACAGGGCCTGGCTGGTCCAGGGCGCTGCCAGTCAGCACACCACCCTGCTCCTCTCTGGATGATCTGGGTGGGTAAGTGTGGGGTGCAGCGTGCGCGAGGCTCCGGCCTTACCTGGCTGTCCTTTGAGTCCGGGGGGGCCCTGGGGTCCGGCCAGACCCGTGATGCCAGGGAAGCCGACCTCGCCCTGGGCTCCTCTCTCTCCGAAGAATCCCTTCAGACCTGGAACACAGCGGGTGGCTTGGATGGTGTTCCATGTGCTGCTCTAAGGAGGCCCAGCGCCCATGGGCTCCATGGCCACGTCACAGGTCACCCCGAGTCCACACCCGCCTTTGCCTCAGCTCACTTCTGCTGGGACTGTGGTGTCAGCCTCAGGATGGCACCTGGCTGGTGAGCCCTGGATACCATGATGATAGTGCCCACAAGCCAACGACGTCTAATCCCCACTGCTGGCACCCCGTCTTCTGCTGGGCACCAGGCCTGGCAAACAGTCCCAGGGACTCTCCAGGAAGCTGCACCCCAGGCTGGGTGGGGAACATGGGAGGCCGGCTCTGCAGGAATGGAAAGTGCCGCATACCTGGAGTCCCTATGGCGCCACGCTCTCCCTTCAGGCCTGGGCTTCCTGGTAAATTGATTGTGTCCCCTGTGTCACCTGTCACATGGAGAAAGCTGGGTTGGAAGAGCTCTCTGGGAAGGAAGGTGATAGGTTTTGTTCCTCCTGTGGTGCCTAATCTTTCTGTTTTGCTTTGTTTCATTATTTTGAGACAGGGTCTTGCTATGTAGCCTAGGTTGGCCTTGAACTCATAGCAATCCTCTTGCCTCAGCTCCTGAGTGCTGGGATGAGAGGTGTATGCCTGGCTTTTCCTGGTTTTAACAAGAACAATGGCTTCCAGAGGATCACAGGTCCCACACCACCCCTCTCGCCTGACTGGCCCTGAAGGAGCCACCGACACTCACCAAGGTCCCCAGGCTGGCCGACCTCACCGAACAGGCCTATTCTTCCTGGAGCACCCTTGTCCCCCTATGGAAAAGCACAGGGGAAGCTACTTAGGGGGACGCAGTGACATCATGTGGCTCTGAAGTGTTGCCTTGTCTCATGCCCATGAACACAACAGCGCTTGAGACGGGCGATTTTTGAGTCCAGGCTGGGCCACAGAGCAGCTCTGGTCTCTGGGACTTCAGCTCTGCTCCCTCAAGGGAACATAAAAAACACAGACACCAAGTGTCATGCCCAAAGGCCCACATGAGGGTGGCCGGGGCTTCAAGCCACTGCAGTCCAGGATGGCCTGGGTGGCCAGCTTTGCAGTTGCTCTGTGGCCATTGCCACCTCAGTGGACACTGATCAGGGCAGAGGAGCCTATGGAGCAGGCTGTGCACACCCCACACTCACCCGGCTGCCTGTGAAGCCCGGAAAGCCGATGATCCCCGGTGGGCCGACCACGCCGGGGAAGCCTGGCTGGCCAGGTGAGCCAGGCAGGCCGATGTCACCTTTGATTCCTTTGATGTGGCCAGGCCTTCCAGGAAGCCCCGGGATTCCTGCCTGCCCCGGGATACCTGGCATGCCCTGGACACCTACAGGAAGACCCAGAGTGCCCTGTCAGTGGGGAAGGCCCCTACCCCCAAGGACTGTCTGGAATCGGGCAGCACCTGTCACCCCCAGGCCATATAGCTGAGGACGGGAGTTCGGGGTGCTCAGGCATCAGAGGACCCTGCAAGCCCTTGTGTGGACACCCTGGGCAAGCAGTGGGGCTGGGGACCTTGGCCACACAGGGCTGGCTGGTCGCAGGAGCAGGCTGGGGTGTGGGGAGCCTCACCTTTCAAGCCCAGGTGCCCTTTCAGCCCCATGGGCCCTTCGTCGCCTTTCTCTCCCTTAATGTGCTTCATCCCGGGCAGGATGACGGGAGGGGGTCCTGGGGGACCTGGGTCCCCGCGGGTACCTGAATGGAAGCAGAAACCATCACTTCCCGTGACCTCAGACTGCGGCACAAAGGCAGATAAGGCCCTCGGTCTGTGCTGCGCTCCTCCAGGGATGCTTGACCCCATGGCCCCAGCTCCGAGTGCCCACGCAGGTCGGGTGAGCAGGCCTGGCTCTGGGTGTGGCAAGGGGTGCTGAGTCCTGGCCCTTCTGCAAACCCACCATCATGGTTTGTGTCTGGATCTCCCCTCAAAGCCTCGCCCGGTCATGGGGGCGGGCCTTTAGAAGGCGGCTGAGTCTAGCATGTGTGATTGGTTCGCTGTCTAGCGCTGGGATTGGTGGTGTGAGTGCTGCACCCGCCAGGGGCGGAGCCTGCGTTCAATATACTGCGAGAAGGAGCCTCCCTTCCGCTTCCGCCCTTTCTCTCTCATCCCTGGTAGCTGCCATGAGCAGCCACCCTTTAGCGAGGCCACCCTGCCTCGGAGCCAGCTGAGTGTGGACTAAAACCTCCAAAGTGCTGTATGCTAGATAAACTTTTCCTGTCCTCATTTGGAGGGGCGGGTATCTTGTCCCAATACGAGAGAAAAGTAAAGGAGACACCTGTGCCCCTCTGGGCGCCTGCATCAGTGCCCCCTCCCCCCCTCCGGGCCTCCCCACTGTCGCTATTTCCGCCTCCAGATCTCCGCATGGAATGTCAGGGACCCACACAACCCACATGCATCAGCACAGCTCGGAGCAGAAAGCGGGTAAGGAGAGGTGCGCTCGCACACCAGGCGTGCGCCAGTCCCGTGAGAGAAGGTGGGGACCTGAGACCATGGCACTGAGCGGAATGCATCGCGCAATCTCAAACGTCGAGAAGCCCAAGCGTGAACAGAGAGCACAGGAAAAACAGGGAATGGAGACAGAGGGGGAAATCTGCAGACAGAAGGGCCCACGAGGCAGAGGGGGAGGGGTGCGGGGAGGGACACAGGGAATGCAGACGCCACGAAAGACCACGTTGTGACCACAGCGCCCGCAAACGCGTGCTAGTAACGATAAAGAAGATAAAGACGCAGCTGTGAATGTGTCCCTCACTTCATCGACGCCAGGGCTGCTGCCGGCAGCTCCCCCCATTCTGGTTTCAGAATGACCCCGCAGACCCATACCTTTCCCGCCGGGCTGGCCAGGCGGACCCCTCACACCGGGCAGCCCGAAGAGCCCGGCCTCGCCCTTGGTGCCTGGGAGTCCCGGCCTTCCTTTGAGCCCGACCATGCCCTGGAAGCCTTCCATGCCCGGCGAGCCTCTGTCCCCTGCAGCAAAGGAAGGTGGCCTTTAGTGGGAACCAGGGTGGGGACCCGTCAGGCCCTGGTATCTGATATGCAGTATGGGGACATAGGAGGACAGTGGCTCTGATTTATGGATGGACGTGGGAACAGAGCAGAAAGAGGTCCCAGGTCCTGCGGGAAGAACAATAGCGGCCTAGGGGCAGAGCAGGGACTGGACAGCTGCCTGAGTGGCAGGGACCAGCCCCACCCTGCTGCTGCCACCTGGTTACCTTTTGGCCCGGGGCTGCCAGGCATCCCGCTCATTCCTTTAAAGCCGGGCGTTCCTGGCTGGCCTCGGTCACCCGCTGCACCAGCGTCACCTCTGTCACCAGCGAGACCTTTCATCCCCACAGGGCCTGGGGCACCTGTGTCGCCACGGTCACCCCTGTCCCCTGGCAGACCTGTTAGGGTGGGAAAGGCACATTTGAGGTGATACGGAGAGCGTTCCTCAGACGGACTCAGCTGAGGCCCCGGTCTAGACCTCTGGTTCCTTGGAGAGGGGAGAAGGGCACAGAGCTCCGGGCCAGGTCAAATCCAGGTGGTGGCGGGTGTGGGACTCCAGGCAGTGCCACTTGTGTAGGGACACAGTCTCTGGGCTCAGCGGCACTGCCCGGCCATCTGTCCTGAGCTCCAGGTCCCCTCCCTGTTGCTCTGGTCTTCCGCATGCCTGGTCACTTTGCTGTCCTGACTTCCAGTGCCCCCGGCCACTGCCATGCCCCCTGTCTCACACTGGATCCCACCATGAGCTGCCCGCTACCTCCTGCAGTCCGTCCCTACTGCCCTTCTCTGTTAAAAGCTGCCAGGGCCTGGCTGTGCCTCAGCTGCCACCTAACCCTTAGCCAGGCATTCAGTGCTTCTGCCCCTGAGGTGAGAGAGTTGCTTGAGCCCAGGAGTTCCAGACTGGCCCAGGGGATATTCCCAGATGCAGAAAATGTCTGGTGCATGCCAGGATTACCGGACATCTCCTCCAGTTTCCCAGGGCCTCCAAATAGGACCAGTGGGCTAAACTTTTGCAGTGGAAATTTCTTTTCTCTCTAATAAAATCTTCCCCTGAACCCCAGTACATACAACAGGCAAACAGAGGAGCCCACTGCCCAGGCTGTTTAAATTCTCCCTGGCGAAATACATGTCTTGTTCTTAGAACCCTAAAGCAGCTCTTTGAGGCTCCCTGGAACACAGTTTGAGAACCCCTCCCCTCCCTGGGCTCCTACCTTCCCTGCCTGGTGTTCCGGGCAGTCCCAGAGGCCCTTCTGGGCCAGGAGCTCCTGGGAATCCATGCTGTCCTGGAGGTCCAGGCAGTCCTGGCTGGCCCGAGGGTCCGGGGAAGCCCACCTGGCCCTTCAGCCCTGGCATCCCGGGCATCCCCTGGCTCCCTGTGGACATGGAGAAGACAGTGGTGAGGCCGGGTCTCCCAGCTCCTGGCTCAGCCTGCAGAGGTGTCTCGGGGTCTAGGTCCAGAAAGTCCGGACATGTAAGGAAGTGCAGGGGCTCAGATCCTTACCCCAGGATGGTCACTGATATTCTGGCCAGCTTCCTTCCTGACTTTTCTAGCCCAATAAATACATGCATGCATGCATGCACCCGTGCTTACACACACATATACACACGAGTGCGCACGCGTATACACACAGAGGGAGAGAGATCTGCAGGGCTGACAGTACAATGTGAACACACCGGAACCTGGCTCTGTTCACTGGGCCTTACATTTCCAGCATTTCCCATATGTAAATATCTTCTCTGCAGATCTCAACAAATGAAACAGCCCTGCGGGCACGTGGGGGCTTGACGCACAGATCGTGCTCTGGGGCGGTGACCTCCTTAAGGAAGTGGCCAGGAAGTCAGCCTAGTGGCCACAGCAAACACGTTTAACTGTCACCCTGATTTCAGCAATTGCACCAGTTTTCTGTCTGCTGTGTTTCCCCGGCACTGGGCCCCAAGTTCAGAGGGGAGCTAAGACCCAGCAGGGTGGTGGAGGGAGGTTCACGGCTGGGTCTCTAACCTTCCAGTGTGCTGTCTGGTGGGGTTTTTGTATTTGCTTGTGTTTCTCTTTGGGGAGTCTGGTATTTTTCTTACAGGTCCTAGTTTGCTCTTAGGGTAGGGGATATGAATGGCATATTCCTTCTAATTTTGGGGCACAAATACTTTACTTTTGCTGATCAAAATTTTTTTTTTTTAAGACGGTCTGGTCTTGACAGATGGTCCAGGCTGGCCTCACTTCACTCACATAGCCAGGCTGGCCTCGCACTCACAGTTTTTCTCCTGCTGGGATTATAGCTGTGTGCTGCCCTGCCTGGGCAAATGTTTTGTCTTTATTGAGTAGAATTTTATTTGTTTATATTTATTTACGTATTTATTATCTCTTTGAGACAGGGTTTCTCTAGGCAGTTCAGGCTGGCTTCAAATTCACTGTGTAGTCCAGGCTGGGCTGGATCTCGCAGTGATCCTCCTGCCTCAGCCTCCCGAATACTGGGGTTACAGACTGTGCCATTCCAGCCAGTTAATGAGTGGCATGTTAACTTTTACAGCACACTTTGTACATGTGTCTGTGCGCACGGCTGGTGCTCCTGTGCACCTCTCTAGGAGCCTGGCGGGGCACAGTCATCACCCAGGGCCAGTGAGTCTTGGGTCTCACTGTGAGTCTGCGCACATCTGAGTTGATGGAGGCCTCGGGGTGCATGGGGGCCAGTGGGGCCTGTGTATGACCAGGGAGGACGCGTGGCAGGCTATGGACTTGGGCTGCGGCGGCCAGGCCTGGCTGGGTCATTTGGGGGCTCCGTCCTCTCTCACTTGCTGCGATTGTCCCCCTGAGCCGAGTTTCAGGTTGGCCTCCGCTTACAGAGTGCCGACTGGGATGAGCCATGGCCCTGCATGGCCTGCCCACTCTGCTCCGGGGCCACGGGCAGTGGCTTCACCTGGACAGCTCTGCAGGGAGGCACAGTGTGGGCCTGCAGGTCACCACCACGGCCTGGGCTGGAGCATGATGTCCCCGCCCACCCGCATGCTGTGTGTGCCTGTGTGAGGTATTCGCATGAGTCCCTGTCTGTGTGCACCTCTGTGTGCTGCCGTCTCAGCCTCCTCCTTCCTCTCCAGGCTACATCCCTGTCTCTGCTCCTGTGGCACCTAGCCAGGGAGCTGGCCAGCCCAGCTATCATCTAAACTGGCCACCCATGTCCTCTCTTCTGGGGATACTGACAGAGTCTTCCAAAGATCAAGTCCCACTTTGAGCTCCTTGGGCTCCTAGCTGCCCATCACTGCCCAGCCTGCCCTGGCTGTAAGATTCACTAGGCAGGATGCCAGTGACATTGCAGAGCCTGGGGAAGAACACACTCCCTGGCCAAGTGGGCAGAGGCAGAGAGGACTGAGACAGTGCCACCTCGAGACACCATCTTTGCTGGGGCTGGCTGGGCTGAGTGCCAGGTGTAGCCAGCCAGTGCCCTGCTCAGGGCTGAGATTGAGTGCACTGTGCCAAGCACCTGCCAGGGCGCTGTGGATGTCAGGACGGAAGCTGCATGTTGGGGTCCACCCCAATCCCTTGGGCTACTCCTGTGCCCTGCTCAGGGGCATTTACACAAGGCCTGACAGTCTGGTTCACACAGTGGCCCAGGCAGCATAGTTCAGGGTGGGTGGCAGAGGCCTCCAGGCCATACTCTGCTGGCCGGGGAAGGTGACTGCATCAGTGACACCTGCAATGGGCACACAGTGCCAGGAGGGAGGGTGGCAGCTGGCAGCATTTCCTGTGGTCACCACTCACAGACTCCCTGGGGATTCCTAACCCTGGTAGGGGATGCCCCACCCTGACATGGGACTCACCTCTAAATCCAGGGGGTCCTCGCTCTCCAGGGGCACCTTTCAGGCCGGGGTATCCAGGCAGCCCAGCGTCCCCCCGGGGCCCGGGCTGGGCCCCTAGCACCTCTCCAGGAATGCCCCTGTCTCCAGGGGGCCCTGCAGGGCCTGGGAGGCCATTAGGGCCCTGGAGTCCTTCTGGACCAGGGAGGCCCACAGCACCTTTGGATCCTCGGGGTCCTATGAACCCTAAAAGGAAATGGAGTATCTCAGCCTGTGTCAGCACTGTCACCTGAGCAGTTGCTGGGAGGAGGCTGGAAACGCCAGGGCCTGGCAGTCACAGTGCCCTTCTCCTCGATGACCCTGTTTCCCTCTGGCATTGAGCCCTGTCCTGAAACAGCCAGGATGTCTGGGTCATGTGTGGCTTGGTCCTGGTTCCCGTGCTTGGTACGCTAGTCTCCTGCATGTGCAGGGGGAACGGGGGTGGGAGGGACATTGTAGTGAGTGGCAGGCACTGGAGGACGGTGCCCTCTGCGTGTCCCATATCATGCAGCCCACACTGGGATGTAGGGACTGTGGCTGTCTCCACCTTCCTGTGGTCTGTGAGCATCATGCCCCTTTCTGGGCTCTTGGTCCTGGGCCCTGCCATGGCTGGGGCATAAGCAGAAGAGCCCGGAAAGACGACGGCCCTTGGGGACAGAGGCCACACTCTGGGCTGGGATCAGCTGCTGGGAGCTCGGTGGGAGTAGACAGTGCTGCAGACCTCTGCTAACCACACATGCCCAACATCCATACCCAAGGACACTGTGGGCGGTGGCTCTGGGGTGCTATTGACCCGGGAGTGCTGTACATGTTTAGGTCCCCATTTGAGGAGTGCAGGCAGCTGGGGGGCTTGTGCATGGGGAAGGAAAGTCAGGTTTCCGAAGGCAGAGGTGTCACAGCCACCAGCCAGCTCTGCCCACGTAACAGTCTGAGGCTGATAAAGCCACCCCCTCAGATCTGGTGCTTCTGAGCAGCTTGGGGACTTGGCTGGGGATGGTGACCTGAGAGGCGGCTGTCTGACACTGGGACCCGAGCTTCATGGGGGATGGGGGGGGGCTAGCGTTGGTGGGTTGCTAGCCTTCAGGAATCATTACTTCACCACAGCAAGGACCCTGGACTGTGCCGTGGAAGTGGGGATGCATGGGTCCCTGTAGTCCCCACTGCCACCTGGAGTCCTGTAGGTCTCTCAGAGCCTGTGACCTGCCTTGGTGACCACAGGGCCACGGGGTGCGCCGGGCACTCAGGGCAGGGCAGCCGGTTTGCACACAGAGGAGAGGCTTCCCGGCGCCTGTCAGCCTTGTCTCCCGCAGGAGGGGTGGAATCTCCCCAAACCCAGCAAGATACAGGTGCCGATGAGGTCAAGCATGCTCGGCTTCCCAGTGACAAGGACAACAGCTGTCACTGAGGGCTCTGTGGTGGAAATAGCTGGTCCACCCAGAAGACACCAGAGCTACCCACCCTGCCCTTCCCACCCAAGTCACCTGGGGGCCCCGGTGACCCTTGGCGGCCTGGGTCTCCAGGGATGCCCTTGAGGCCTTGTGGTCCATCCTGTCCTGTGAATCCAGGGATCCCTCTGGCGCCTTTGTCACCTGCACAGCAAAAGGACATCAAGCCACATTAGTTCCATGAGGACGGGGGACATGGTGAACAGCAGCAGCTCTGGGCTTATGGAGCAGCTTTCACCATTGCTCATCGGGGCCCCAGGCAGCAGGAGGGGCAGGGGTTTCCCATCAGCCCAGTGTCTGCCCCACTCATGGTCCTCCCCAGTGAGGGTCTCAGGCAGCTCTGGAGGTTTGGGATCCCCGAATCCCACCCGCCCAGGGGTCCAGACACAAGGGGCAGGGCCAGCACAGTACCTGGGGCACCAGGAGGGCCAGGCAGGCCTGGTGATCCCCGGGGGCCTCCAACACAACCTGGGGAGGAGGAGGAGGAGGAAGAGAAGCTGAGCACCCTTCAGGGAGCCCTGTGCAGGTGAACTGGTCACCCCATGATTTAACCCATTTAACTGCATGGTATCACAAAATCCAATATTAGCATAAGGTGTACATTAAGCCAATCCTGGCCGGAGCTGACTGGTCCAGTGTTTCCTGTCCTCTGGAGGGCAACAGCCTAAGCCTGAATAAACCCAGCACCCCTCTCTGGTCCCTGGGATGCTGTCCTGTGACCCAGAAACATCTATCAGTAGGCAGTAACACCTTGTAATAGCAAAGAGAGCTCTTTTTTTGATTTTTTGAGGTGGCATCTTGCTGTGTAGTCCAAGCTGGCCTTGAACTCACTAGGAAACCCAGGCTGGCCTAAAACTCATGGTGATCCTCCTGCCTCAGCCTCCTGAGTGCTGGTGATCCTCTTGGCCTCGACTTCTCCCCTGGGCCTCTGTGCACAGCCACAGCTGTGGAGGCAGCCAGGATCCCAGTGGCTTGATGGAGAGACAGGCCAACGCTGGGGCAGGACTTGGGCCGCCCTGAGATCCTCCTGGTGGCACAAGCTCATGGGCCCAACTCAGCCTTTCAGCAGGAAGTGACACTCGAGGGAACCCATCTACACTTTTGTCCCTAGCGGCTTGTTATCTGCGCAGGACACAGCACTGTGGACACCTGAGGTGAGGCGTCTTTCTGTGCAGCCCTCTGACCCCAGCAGTGCTGTGTCCACTTCTGTGTGGTCATCTGCAGCCTGACTACCTGGGGCCCACTGCGCCTGCTGTCCAGGCGCCGCGACCAGGTGGGTCCAAGTGCCGTAGGTTGCACAGCCCCATCCCTGTCTCCACAGCCCTCACTGGCTCAGTCCTTGCTGTCCATGCCTGTTGGCTCGAGGTCCCCACCGTCACTTCTAGCCCCTGTGCCTGGCTGGGGGGTCCTCCGTTGGCCTCCTGGTCCTCCCTGGCATCTGCTCCCAGCCAGGGTCCCTATCTTGCTGTGCACCTTCTGAGTGGTGCAGGGACAAACCTAGGCTGTCACCCGAGAGCACCCTGCCTGGCTTCATGCAGAAACACTGGGTGACAAGGACTTGGGGTCTTCCTGCCCTGACATGCTGGGCAGGGGCAGAAGCAGAGGTCTGGCCTGTTCTGGGCAGGGACCATTCCCATCACAGTGCAGGTCGGGCCACCTCCCTCCAGCACGTACCCGGCTGCACGGACTCCTGCCCGTCACCTCCAATGGGCCTTTTCACACCTGTATCGCAGTCTGGGGAGACACAGGGAAGAGTGAGGTGATTGGGAACCTTGGGACGCCCACCTCCGTGTAGAGAAGGGTGAGTGTGAGGGTGCTGGGTGTGACCAGGAAACAGGACAGCAACTCTAACCCAGGTGCTCAGGAGAGCAGGGGTGGGGCTGGGAAGCCCCGGGCATTGTCCTGCAGGCCCAGTACAGATGCAGCAGCACCACGTCCTCACTGACTCCAGGGGGGAAACGAATGGGCAGGGGGTGAGGGTGGGGCCTGGCCAGTGTGGAGCCAGGGAGGTGCAGGGCAGTTCCCTCATACCTGTGTCTCCTGGGCTGCCCGGGGGGCCGGGAGGACCCTGAAAGCCCTGGGGCCCAGGGAACCCTGCATCTCCAGGGAAACCTTGTTGGCCCTTCCGGCCTGGCAGGCCCAGTCCTGGGGGCCCCATCTCTCCTGGGAGGCCCTTGGTTCCAGGAGCTCCTGGGTAACCAGCGTCTCCTGGAGGCCCTTTGATGCCATCACCCTGTGAGAAAATCCAGGTTACCTCGAAATAAGACGAATGTCACAAGCGCCCTGACTTTGCATGTCCCTGTGACTCCATGCTTCGGGTACAGAACAGGACCATGGCCACCATGGCTCTACCTGCAGGCATCGCTGCCACCAAGCCCTAGTCCCAGCCCCGCTCAAATGCCGCTTTGGGGCAGTGTCTCTCACTAAGTTGCCTGGGTTGGCCTCCAACCTGTAATTCTCCTGCCTCAGCCTCCCGAGTGTGCTCCCTGGAATTATAAGCTGCCCACCGCCCCAGCTCAGACAGGCCTTTTAGGAAGTGGATGACAGGGCCACCTGTGCCCTCCAGCCAAAGGACACCTGTGCAGTGTGTAGCAGTCACAGTGGATAAGACCCCTGGGAAGGCCAGAGTGGCCAGAGCCAAGTGCGAAGGTCGAGGGAGGAAGGGATACAGGCTACCTCCCCAGCTGATGTGTGCCTGAGCCCCACACTGCAAGGTGGCTGGTGCGGAGCTGGGCTGCCCATACAGGACACTCCGAATTCTGAGGTCTCACTCCCTAAGACACCTGCAGTACTATTCATCTGATCTTTGCCCTAAGCGATCCAGCTAGGCTTGGCTCTCAGTGTGACTCCCCACCCCCCACCCCCATTCCTCCGAGTTTTACTTTTCCTGCAAACAGAACCTTCCTGTGCTAAGCATTCGGTGTTCTAGTGCTGAGTCCCAGACTCTGGGCGTCACAGACATGGTGATCACACGCAAGGAGGGGAGGGCCAGATGTGTCCGGCCCCAAGTGGCTACTCACGGGAGGACCGGGAAGGCCGGGAAAGCCGTCCAGCCCATCACGACCAGGGATCCCATCGTCACCTTTCAGGCCAGGCATGCCGGGGATGCCAGGCTGTCCCTTCTCCCCTGCAAAGGATTTTTATGTGAGTTCACTCATTGGAGACCCTGCAGGGAGGCCAAGTGGCCTGAGTCGCCAGCCCCAGAGTGCCCACCTTTGGTGGTGACTGTCCTGGCATCGCCTTTTGCTCCCTTGGGCCCTGGGGCTCCGACACTGCCTGGGGAACCCTGTGGAAACAAGCAAGGTATGCCTCCTCCAACCTCAGGACATGGTGTGTGGCTGTCACCTTTCCCCAAGCCCAGCCCCAAAGAACTTTCTGCAAGGCCAGAAATGCTGTGTCTTGCAAGTGGTCACAAGCACCATTGGATATCAGGTTCTGGGACAGAAGCTGGTGGGACTTAACAAACTGTATTTTTAGTTATCTTTAATATGTAAGTAATCACTAGGGAGGCTGAGGCAGGAGGGTCATTGCAAGTTCGAGATCGCCAAGCCTACAAAATGAGCACAAGGCCAGCCTGGGTGCATAGTGAGAGCCCGTCTCAAAAATCGAAAACCTAAATGACTAAACATAGTGGAGGTAGTTGCATCCCAGGGCCTCACTACTTGAGTGTGATGTCTGCACAGGCATCTTGACTGCCACTAGGAGGCTGGGGCAAGAGGCAGGTGCCCTGTCCGCACCCTGAGCATGAACGGTGACCTGCACTCTACAAAGGTCTGGAGAAGCACTGCGCTCCAGCATGAGCTGGGCCCACCCCTAGCCACAGTCACTGAGAATCCAAGGCAGCAACAAATCCCACGTGCCAGTGTGGGAAAGCTCGTGGTTGTTTACTGTCGAGCACAGGGAACACGCTTCACCCACATGCTCCTTCGCAGAGTGATGTGAAGGTTGAGGGGACACGTTAGAAAGAAGCTGCCCCCGGGACATTCACAGCGCAGTGTAAGTTATATGTAGTGGAGGACACTGAGCCCGGGTAGTGTTTGTGAGGTGCTCGTCGGCCTCAACCAAGGAACCTTGGGGGTGCAGGGGCCTGCAGGGAATGGAATGTCACCGGCCAGTGCGAGTGCTCGCCTCGGAATTCCACAGGGCCTTGATTTATTGACTGGGTCCTCTGTGAAAAAGGGCGACATTCTCCGAGGATCTTGCTCCAGGATGCTGCTCAAATATGTGTAGGGTCAGTGGCCGGTGGGAGGATTCACTTCTTGGTGGCTCCTGCATCTCACACACTCAGCACAAATATTAAGTGGAAGCAGCTGGACAGGGCAGTGAGGCACAGGCACTGCAGTAAGCAAGCGCAGAATGACAGACACAGGTGCTGTGGTGCATGTGTGATGCAGGGGCACTTGAGTGGCAGTGGCACAAGAACGGGCCCCCAGCTCCTAGAGGAGCGGATTGTGGCTGTGACGGCTGGGACGCCCTGGCTTGGTTCGTGGGCAGCCCTTGTCCACTGTGCTTTCTGAAAACTTGAGCAGCCCAGGTTTGGAGGCAGCATTGCTCTTTGCTGGGTTTTCCTCCTTGTTCTCTGGGAAATCCCAGGCCGTTGTCGCCTGGTGACTTGGCAGCTGTGTGTAGCTATGGCTCTTCTGAGTCACATCTCCCAAACCTCCCCTAGCTAAGTGGCCTGAGCAGTTTCTTTTGTACTACTGAATATATGACACGATGGGCTTCCGGCTTTGTTCCTTTCCTGCAGCTCTCTTTTGAGATGAGGAAGATAAAAAGCAGTTGCTTTGTGCACATCTGGCATTGCTTCAGGAGCGCTAGTCAGCTGAAGCCGGTCCCCAGAAGGCAGACCCATCGGGACCTCACCCTCAGGCAGGGCGTCCCAGCCACATTGCTAGTCTGTCCAGAGGCCCAGGACAGGCAGTATCCCACAGTCCTGCAAGGCAGCCTCATGTGTCCTTGGGGGGCTCGCTCTCTAACAGGTCAAAGAAGCCTTCGTTAAATGCTCAAATTGAAAGGGAATGCCCAGTGGGTGCCGTGCTTCACATCAAGAAGGCTAAATGTAGCCTAGACCACAATTCACCGATTGAAAGCATAAAATCTGATGACTCTCATATTTCTGTGAGGTCGTCCACCATCGATGTCTTGCTGTAGAACATTTTCATCACACAAAAGAGGGATCCCACACCTGGCTCACATGGCAACACATCCCCAGAGCTTGTTAAGGTGCCTGTGTCCCAAGTCGTGGACGCCAGGGGCAGGGACCATGTGTCCGACATGCACAGCATGTAGCTGTGGCACACTTGGGAGAGGTGCGTCTGGGTCTGGTGCTAACGGTCTAACTTTCTGAGGATGTATGAGATGGTCTCTTCTGCAGTGGCTGCACCCCTAAAAATCTGTGAAGTTTGCTATGGCACAGGTGGGTTTTGCGAGGAGGTAAAACTGGGGATTGAACTGGGGCCTTTGGGCTGAGCTGTACCCCCAGCTCCTTTTAAATTTTATTTTGAGGCAGGATTTTGCTAAGGTGATAGGTTGCCCAGACGGGACTGGAGTTTGCGATCCTCCTGCCTCTGCCTCCCAGTGTGCTGGGATCACAGGTCTGGGCCGTGATGCTATGGCATCCCATCAGCGCACTGGATCCCCAGCCTGGGATCCCTCTAAAATGGCCATGAGGGACGCTGTCTTCTTACCTTGAACCCTGGGAACCCAGGGATGCCATGCGGGCCGGGGTCTCCTGGCTCCCCTTTTCTGCCTGGCTCGCCATTGGCACCAGGGAAACCCTTGAGTCCTGGCAGCCCCGGAAGACTGATGAACTGGTCACCTGCTGCACATTTGCAGTCCCCAGCGTCACCTGCAGAGCGTGGGAGAGAGACTTGGAGCACACACAGGCGAGGCCTTGCTAGGTAGCCTGAGCTGGCCATAAACTCGCAGCCATCCTCCTGCCTCAGCCTCCTGAGTGCTGGGATAACAGGTGTGTGCCAGCTAATTTTACAGTCTTTTTGAACATCTCTCCTCTGACTGTGGCTTGTCTGTCCCGTGGGATCAGGTGTGGAATCTTGTGCTGGCGGCATGGTTGACACTCAAAGAGCTGTGGGTTTTGGCTCAGGGAGGCTGAGTGGGATTTGAAACCAAGGCGGGGGCGCTGCCTTCCTCACCCCCCCCCCCCGCCTTTGTGGACTCCTCACCTTTCCGTCCCTTCTGCCCTCGCATCCCTGGGTAGCCGGCATGCCCCTCGTAGCCCCTGCTGCCTTGGGCTCCTTTCAGGCCGAACAGGAAGCCTAGGGAGAAATCCGGAGCACAGATGTTAGTGCCCATCCTGGGGCATAGCGTTCCTGCCTGCAAGTTCTCAGCTGGGGTCCCCCATGACCCAGAAGCTTGTACAGTGCTGGCTGGAAAGAAGTGTAAGTGTGTGGCGAACCTATGCTGCCCTTTCTTGCACAGAGATGAAACCCATCCCACTGAGACACAGTGGCCAGGGCCAGGCATGTTCCACTTCGTTCGACGACCCTGGCGGCCTTCCCTGCCAAGGACTGGCTTCTCCACAGCCATTGTAGCCACAGTGCTGCAGTCATCCATGCAGGTGAGTCCAGGCAACCAGCTGAGACCTCTGCTCTACCGCAGCCTGGCCACGAGGGGGGACAGCGCCCTCTGGTGGTGGCCACCGGGGTATGCATCTCTAGGGTGCAGCCCAGTGAGGCAGCTGCTGTTCCAGTTTGGCTATGCAGGTTTAAACCCAGCAGCTGCTGAGCTCCTGGGAGGCAGCAAAACCCCTGCACACAAGCCCTGGTGCGTGAGGCCGAGTGGGCCATGTGGATGCGGCCATGTGGGGGAGGAGGCCAAGAACCAGACCTAAAGACGGAGCCCGTGGTGAGGAAAGGCTCAGGCCTCTGTAACTCTTAACAGAAAATGGAGGGGGCGCCACCCTACAATGCTGGGTTTAGGGCCCAGACTCTGGAATGCCGGCGTCTCACATGGGGATGCACTGTCAGGACAGAGAGTCACATCATGGGAAGATGCAGTGCCATGGCCTCCTTCCCGTCCTCCCTCTTTTTTTTTTTCTCTAATTCATTCATTGTTTCAAACCCACCCACCCTAAGTCCTCTGAGAGACCCCCGCAAGGAGCCTGACACCAGGCCGGGAACATGTGCTGGGTGTGTGCTCCGCTCACAGACAGGAGGGAATTGAAGTGTCTTCTACAGCAGGAAGCCAACTTCAGGCCCAGATTCCCTGGGCTGTGGGACAGGAGGGAAAGCGGTTGATGAGAATCCCATAGTTTCTTCCCAGGGAGAGGCCGAACTCCACGGGAATCAAGGCCACCGGTGCTGAGTGACACCTACACAGCACTGAGAGCACCAGGAAGGCCGGCCGCTGCCTGCAGAGGAGGCTGCTAGATGGCAGGGGAAGAGGCATAGCCTCATCATGGACCTCGAGCACTTAGTGGTCTCACTTCACAGGTGGTCGGCTGATGACCTGATGCCGTCTCACCTGTTTCTCAGAAGTCTGTGACACAGACTAGAAATGAGCTACGGTGTGTGCAGTTGCCTTACATTAGCGAATCACAGCCGTGCTAAGCAAGGCTTAAGAGTCAGGGTTGCTTGTGTTTGTGACTTTATCAGAGAGTTTAGCTACAGGGACAGGCTAGGTTTTCTGTCCTGGTGGTGAACTTTTTAGCCTTTATTTTGGACACATGTCCTGTTCCAGAAAAGGGAAAGCAGAGGCAGGCCACTACCCAGGAAGGACAGTACCCATGGAGACTTGGCCATCGTGACACTTGCAATGTTACTGTGTGATACCCAGGGTGACACAAACATGTCAGAGATAACACCGCTCACACCACCTGGCGAGTGTGCAGTGCAGGGAAATCTCTGCACCTGAAACTTTTCAAAAGTGTCCGACGTGGCTTTTCCAGTTGAAAGACAATGGGGAAGTGGAGCCACGCAGGTTAAAAATGGACTACAGGATGCGAAATGGCCCCTGTTTTAAGGAACACTCCTGCCAAGAGATGGCAGGAGGAGTATTGCCGAAAGTGACTTAAACATGGAGGTTTTGATTCAAACTTGAATGGAGACCCAGCCCTGTCCATGTCTAACCAGATCTTAGCTGAAGCAAGCCGAGCTGGAGGAGGCCCCGGCAGGGTGGGGTAGATTCAGGGAAGAGGCTGCCGGGTTGGCCGAGGTGGTGCAGAAAGAGCTCCGGGCCTCCAGTTACGTGAGCGACCTGTTCTCCCCACCTGAGATGTTCTCATGAGGCTTTTCACAGCATGAGCTTGAAGCTGGGGTACACATACTTCCCCCCTCCTCCACAGGGGAACCTCAATAAAGACTGAGAACGCCCTGGGGCGGCCCATGCATACGCCACTGCCGGCCACTAGTTCCCAGCATCCCGGCCTCGGTGACAGCTGCCACTTCTCGGGGAGACTGCGTGGCTGTCCCTTGTCATGGGCCACAGGCACCTGCTCGGCAGGCAGATCACCCATCTGCTGGGAAGTGCTGTGGTGACAGAAGAGGGGCTGTGGGAAGGGTAAGTCCTGCTGCTGGACACTGTAGCTGCTGCTGGACATGGCAGTCGTGGCCGGCAGTGCGAGGCTTTGGGGGCGGTGCTGCTTCTCCTTGGCTGCTGGGCATTAGGGCTGGGGCAGCGGTTCTTGTCTACTGCCTGGGGAGTGCCCTGCACCCTGTCTGCTGGGCCCACGGAGTGGCCATAACATTACCCATCAGCCCATGGGTCCATGCAGAACTTAAAAGCGCAGAAACCCAAAGGAAACGCAGCTGGGGGGTGCCACCCCACCCGCACCGCACTGAATTGCACCCCACTCACCATCTGGTCCTGGTGGCCCAGGAGGCCCAGGGGGTCCTTGTTGACCTGGTATTCCATCAGCACCCGGTGGGCCCCACACACGTGCAGGGAAGCCCGGCTCTCCAGTGAAGCCTTTGGGTCCCATCTCGCCGGGCAGGCCTCTCCTTTCACCTGGAACCAACCCAGTGGGGATCACAATGTGTGTGTCCTCTGAGGCACCGTGACCAAGGGAAGTGAGGCCACTGTAGGCCCAGGGCCCAGGCCGGCCAGCATTTTGAGGCCATAAGGCATCACCACCTGCCAGCTTCCCTGAAGCCCCCTGAGGGTGATGGGGTGCCCCAGGCCTTTCTTTGATCCCGTGTACTCCCCAAATCCCACCAAACAGAACCCTTTTCACTTCATGCCCACCTGAGTCCGGGTCAGGAAAGCCCATTACCTTGGTCTCCAGCAGGCAGGCCAGGTGGGCCTGGTGGACCGGGGTCTCCTGGTGGGCCCCTGCTTCCTGGCTCCCCATAACCCCCTGGGAATCCTGGGTCGCCTCTGATACCTGAAACACGGATACGGCCCACACCATGGTGAACGGTGTCAGGGCTAGGACCCTGAGCACGCAGGCCACTCACATAGGGCACCAGGGCATTTGTCTGCAAGGATCTGGGGGCTACCGCAGCACTCAGACCCTTTCCCAGATGATTGACTGATTGACGGAGCCCAGAGCCCAAGGCAGTTTCTCAGCAGCTACCCAGTCTCCAGGACACCCTGGAATGTGACTCAGCCACATTCCAGCTCATGAGGCTGGGGGCGAGAAGGTGTGGCCACATCCACTTGACACAAAGGTGTTGTTTATTTAAATTTCTTTTTTTCTGGGCAGTGGGGCACCCCAGCAATCCCAGCACTGAGGCTGAGGCAGGAGGATTGCTGTGAATTCGAGGAGGCCTGGGCTACAGAAGCAAGTTCACGGCCAGTTTGAACTACCCAGTGAGACCTGGTCTTAAAAAAAAAAAATCTAAAATCTGTTTTGTTTTGGGATAGGCTTTCGCTGTGCAGTACAGGTGACCTTGAACGTGTGTCGATCCTCCTGCGTCAGCAGGGATTGTGGGAGTACACTACACCTGGCTGTGTATGTGTCTTGGAGCCATCTGTCCCCCCACTTGGTACCCTAGGACACAGTGTGGTGGAAAGGGAGGAGCTGAATGACCCCTGGGCTCCCTGTCTGGGTGAGATGCACTCACTGCTGGCAGTGATTTCAGAATCACATGCCCAAAGCCCCAGAGGGGTTAATCCCATTTGCTGACCATTGCTAAGCCTAGATGGGTGAAGCCAAACTCTGCACTTCTTCCAGCAGCTTCAGATCTAGGGGTCCCGTGGATGGGGCCTAGACACCCCCAGGCCCTCTGCCAGGCTGCAGTGGGGTGGGGTCTTCAGCGACCTTGACGCCAGGTCAGGTCCTGTGTCAGTCTGCAGGAAGGAAACTCTACAGGGTGGGGGTGGGTGTAGGGGCTATCTGGAGGGTGTGGCGCTGTCCTGCAGAGCCAGTGTGTGGCCTCTGGTAACGTTTCCAAACCGCCAGGGCGGGTGCATGCTGGGACATCTTAGTCTTGCCCTGGAAGTTCCTGCTCTGTCCGCAGCAGAAGTATGCGTGCATGTACTGTCGTGTCTCATGGAGGAGCTGCTGATACCCACCTTTGGCCAGGGCAGGATGAGGCGAATAGGCAAGTGATCCTGGGGGGCCGGGTTCCCCTTGTTCTCCCTGGAAAAAGAGCAGCAGAGCATGCTACTGGCTAGGGTTGTGCACGATGTGCACACTTGCAAAGCTAAAGCTGATGGTGGATACCAGTGCAGCAGAGAGCTGTTCTCACCAGCCCCTGGGTAGCCGGGCACCTCCCATACTGTAGCTACAGAGCCTCCTGCCATGATCCTGTTGGTCCCCCTGCACCCCAGGGACCCCACACAGCACACAGCTGATCAGCTGCCACCCGTTCCTCTGCCCAGGTGGCATGGCGCATGTGCTCCCATTCTGCACTGCTGGGTGGGGGCCCTCCAGGTGGGGGCAGAGCACTGTACTAAGGGAGGACAGAGACGCAGGTCACCTTTTGTCCTGGGGCTCCGTGGGGGCCTTGGTAGCCATCCAGGCCTCTGCTTCCCTGCAAGACAGATGAACACATTTTACTTTTATCTTGATGGACAACCGTGGAAAGTGGCCGTGACACAGTAATTAAAAGAGCTGTGGTAAAATTAACAACAGTTCACCAGAACACTGATGACCCAGTGTGCCCGTTCCCCGCTCCAGAGTGGCATGTGCCTTTTCAAAGCTGCTTTGTTTAGTCCAGGAGCCAGAGTCCCACTGGATTTGGTGACACTGGGTCTCGTTTCCCTCTCGGTTCACAGTGGGTTCCCTACCCCTGTTCCTGGGGCCTTTTCTTGCTCTTGCTTTAGAAACCCGACCATCCATGGCAGCTCTGTTGGCCTCCTTTTGGGTGCTGTGGAGTGTTTGCCTCTGTCCCTGCAGCAGGTCCAGAGGTGCTTTTGGAGGTGGCTGGCACTTCTTGGGCATCACACCCCACATTAGCACCCTCCTAGAGTCACAGAGGGCCAGGTGCTGGCACAAGGTCCATGGCTGAAATTGTGCCCCCAGATGGGTTTTGAAAATTTCCAGTTAAAGCTAAATAACCATCAGAGTCTTTCTTAGTGACCATTTTCTCTCTGTTTTAAAAAAAAAAAACCCTAATGCTGGTTTCGTCTCTTGACCCCTGTAGCTGCCTTGGCAGAAGAAGATCCCTGCGAGGGGCTCCCCATGGTCAGTCATCACAGGTTTCTGGAACCATGACATCTATCCAGGTGGCGCAGGGTGCAGCCCCAAGCGTGGTACTCCATGGCTGACCCTGCGGAGTGAGCTCTGTGGATCGTCTGACTCTGTCTCAGGCAGAGCGGGAGACCAGCTCTGTGTTTTGGGGGACAGAAATGAGCCGGAGAAGCAGGCATGGCCAGGCACAGGCTGAGATGGCAGCAGGACAGCTCCGTGGGGGATGCCCCTTCCTAGGCTGGGGACAGTGCAGGTGTGCAGCTGCTGTGTCCCCTCAGTGGTCAGGAGCAGGGTCTACTTGGGCAGAACTTGGGCCCCCTCGGATGAGAGGCCTTGCTTCAGAGAAGCTCTGCTGGCCTGCAGGGGACAAGTGTTGAGTGTGAGGACTCAGCCAGAGCAATGGCTGCCATGCATGCCACTGGGCATTTGCCTGAGTGTGCGCCTGGAGACATTCCTGCTGTTACACACTGTCCTGCGGACGCCAGCAAGGCTAAGGACAGTCATGGGGCTGTCATCAGCTTGTGTCCTCCCAGTGCTCACTCAGCACTTTCACAGTAACCACAGGCCGTGAAAAGCTCAGTTACTGAGAATAAGTCAGCATGGGGAAGGCTGAGGCAGGATGATCTCTGTGAGTCTGAGGCCAGCCTGGGCTACACAGTAAATTCAAGGCCAGTGTGAACTACGTAGCAAGACTTTTGCTGTGAAAAAAAAAAGGGGAAATAATTTCTAATTTTTTTCCTGAAAATTAAAATAGCTAAGCCCATAGGGCATTTCCTGACTCCCTTTAGAAAAGGGAAAGTCAGCACAGACTGGTGCTCTGTAAGCCTGGTAGTAGGGTTCACAGCTCTGCCACCAACGGCCTAAGCAAATGACTGCCCTGAATCCACCTGGGTGACCCTGAAATCCGTCTCCCCAGGGTGCACCAGCTGCAGCTGAGGGTCTCTTCAGGGATTTGCTTAGTGTCAGCTGGAACCTGGCCTCTGGCCTGTGGCTAGGTGCAGTGTGGACATCTGTGCTAGCTTTGGGACTGTCCCTACCCACAGTGATGGCTTGGAACGTCGGCATCCTGCGGGCAAGGCTGGCATCAGTCTCTGGCACAAGCTGGGGTCAAAGGGCAGGGATGGGCATAAACTCGGAGAGTTTCTGGGAGCCAGGTTGGTTTGTGCAGTCAGTGGTGAAATCTAGAGCTCAGGTCTACACAGCTGTGCCTGGCACTTTGGGAGGGTGGCAGTGGCACACAGAGGGCAAGGGCTGTCCTTGGATGACCGAGCAGGAAGCCCTGGGCTCAGCATTGCTCCTTGTGGTCTGCCTGGCTCATGCAGGGGAGCCTGGAGCTGCTCTTTCGGAAGCATCCTTTCTACACGTCTGCTGGGACTGCGGGGTGGAGACGCTGCCCTGGGCACGGGACCCACTTTGCTGACTGGGCTTAGATGGTGGCCGAGGGGGTGTGGATGTGAGTGTCCCTGTCCTGTAGCTCTGCCGCTTGCTGAAGGATTCAGGGATGTGTGGTGCTGCAAGGAGGCCCAGGGTGGGCTGGGCGCGAACCCTGGGCAGAGCAGCACAGTGCCTTTGCTTCTTCATGTGCACAGCCACACTCCTTGTGTGGGCCCAGACCTGAAGCCGAGCCAAGGGCCAGGGCCAGGAGAGGGGAGGCAGGGAGGCTGCTGGCCCCAAGGCAGGCAGGCCGGGTGTCCTCAGTGAGGGCCTCACCATGCGCCCTTCACCTAAAATTGTGTTCTAGAAAAGCCCGAATTCTGCCTGCAGAATGCATGGTGAGAATTACTATCTGGTCTAGTGCCACACATAACCAACTCTCAAGAAACACGTCAATCTATAAGAAATACAGATGGAAACCCGATCACCAGCTGAAGCCTTCTTAAGAGGGACCTGTGACAGAGCAGGATGAGGTCCTGGGCCCCCTGAGGGACACATCCGGGAACAGACAGAGTGAAGGAAGTGCGGATGGTCAGAGCGGGCTCTTCATGCCACTGTAAGCATAGGGGCATCACATGCTGTCCTTGAGGACATGTGTTCTGTCCCTCAGCACGGAAGCCTTCCTGCGAGGCCCCACCGGCAGTGGAATCCCTGTGGCACTTACCTTCTGCCCCGGGAATCCCTTCTCTCCATCCAGGCCGGGAGGCCCCTGGTGGAACAGAAAACAGAAATGATGAACAGCTCAGCTCTGCAGCCAGCCTTCCCAAGGGCCTGTGTCATGGTGGCCAACGAGGACGGAAGTGACTTGCACTGAGCTTTGGAAAGCAGTGAGAAGCACACACAGTCCTCCCCTTGGAGGCCGGGGCAGGTGGGCCGTCAGGATGTGAGGCAAAAGGGGGGCAAACCCACTTATCAGAGGAGCAAAGCCACCATCTGGGGACTAAATCATCTCACCTATTTCCTACAGCTGTAACTCCTACCCATTAAAGAACAGAGAAAGCACATGGGTGACACAGGAAGATCTAACAGGGCTGGAGTCTGAGAAGTTGCTTTTTTCTCACTGTGGACGCTGTAAGCCAGGGCCTGCAGTGGGCGTGACCGTCACACTGCCACCAGGTATGGGGCTCCCCGCACCATGTACCCTGGGACTAAGCCTGGCCAGGGCTGCGAGCAGAGTGGGCAAGGACGCATGGCCCTAGGGTTGGGCCCTGGTCTGGGGACACCCTTACTGGACTCTGGGGCAGCTGCTTCAGGTTTTTAGGGACCAATGGCCAACTGAACCTACAGGGGCAGGTGCAGGGTCTCCCTGCCCAGAGCAGAGCGAGCGGGTTGAAAGTGTGGACAGTGAGTGCATGGGGGCTGGTGGGCTGAGTGGATGCGGGGCAGTGTGGGGGGGACATCCACAGCACGAGGCTGTGTGCAGGGACAGGGAGGGGCGTTTCAGGGATCACAGGAAATCGCTGTCCTTTCTGCTCCATTCTGCTGGGGACAAAACTTATCAAAGGAAGGCTATTTAAAAAGCAAAACCAAACCGAACAGCCAGTGAGGTTTTGAAATGACTAAAACACACTCAGCACGCATACTGGTTCCCTGAGGTGAGTGCCCCCGCCTTGCGCTGCAGACGCACGCTGTTAGAAACCCAGACAGTGCAATGCCGGCTCACCCGTGTTCCTGGGAAGCCCATGATCCCTTCTTCTCCTTTATACGAGATGCCCTAGGAGAGAGGGAAGGGGCATGAGGACCACCAGGTCCTGCTGGACTGCACTGCAGCCTTCCCAGCCCGGCCCGGCCTCCTCCTCCACAGCAACCCACCCGGCACCGGAGGGAGTGGGCGTGTGCCCGGTGCCTTGATGAGAGTGATGCTGGGGGACAAGTGGACAGTGCAGCCAGCTGGGGGATGGATGCGAGAGGGCCTCCTGTCCGCCCAGGATGAGGCCAGCTGTCCCTTGCCCAGCCCACCAGTCGCCGAGCATCACGGAGACTTTCTAAAGTCAGAAAGGGCTGAGCAGCCAGTGGCACTGTCCAGAACTCTCCCGCCCACAGAGGCTGGGCGCCAAGACCGCGGCACCATCCACTGCCTGTCCGAGGAGCTGGACTTGCATCTCTGTGACTTGACTTACCTGTGGCCCAGGTTCTCCTTGGGTGCCCTTTTCACCCTGTGGAGATCAGCAGAGGTCAGAAAGGCACATCACTTCCAGAACAGTACCCCCTTCCACGCCCAATGGGTGGTAGACTCATGTTTAGGCCAGGAAGTAAAAGTCTTTAATAAGACTTCAGTCTCATAAATGAATGGCACCCAGTGATTCCTAAATTTTGCACCTTCAAAATCAGAATGGGGTTAAAAAAAAAGGCTCATTTCTTTTGGGTTTTCACACGGTGCATTAAATCCTGTTTCTTTCTAGGGTGGGGAGGGGCCTGTGCTAAGCCGGCTCTCTCCGAGCTGCAGCCGGTGCCTGGTGAGGGATCTGTTCATGTTCCTGGGTATGGGGCAAGGACAGGCCCAGAGCAGAGCCGCTGCTGACAACGTTCATTTGCCTGCGGTGCCTGCCTCTGGAAGGTTCTCCCGGGGACATACTCTATCCCTAGCCTGAGTTGCTCCAGGAAGCCACGTCAGCACCTTTGGGATTTCTTGGTTGGTCAGGTCCTAGTCCCCACTTTCCTAGGACAACAGTCAGCTCTGTGGTTGGTGTGTGCCTGCCCCTTGTAGGCCACCTGTTGGCGGCAGAAGTGGCCTCCAGCTGGAGTGCCGGGCAGCAGCAGTCCCTGGGCTGCTCTCCCCTCACCCTGGAGGCCCATGGCCACCTCAGAAGCTACACATGTTGGTGGTCACTCAGCTTGAGCCAAGGCTGGAGGGCTGATCTAGGGACAGTGGCCCTGCCTGCAGGCACGCTTGGGGCTGAGCTCCCACGCTGTACCATGACAGCTGGGGGAGTGGCAATTTCTATTCTACTGGAAAACCGAGGTTCACACTCTTCCTCCTGTGTGTGCGCTTCGCACATGGCTCCCTCCGCAGTCGTGACCCTCTTGAGGGACCCGGGGCGTCCAGAGAGAGAGGTGGGCCCAAGGCAGTGTCCACAGCCAGGGACAGTGGGACACTAGCTTCCGCTGGGGACCAGGCGCACACTCCAGCACAGGAGAGCTCGAGTGAATGCAGCAGCGGGAGTAGCAGAAACAGCTGATTCAGAAAACAAGCAAAACCCAAGCAGGTGCCTTGCTGGGGCCAGGGGAAGAGTGGTTTTGCTTTCTGCACCCAGCGCTCTGCTTAGGCCTGAGAGTGGGCCTGGCTCTGTGACCCACGTCTGCGTGGAGACTCGAGCATGCAAAGGCAGGTTCGAGTTTTTTCATAATGTCTCACACTGTGCTGAGCTCCTCGCCATTGCGTCTACGTGTGAACCACTGAAGCAATCTCACTGGACCTACAACCATCTGGAAGCATCCAGAACGTTTCAGGGCCTGCTATGTTTAGGGCCGGTTTGCTGATTCGTTGGTGATGTGATTGTCAGAGAAGGCAGTTACCTCTCGCTCCCATTTCCGGGTCACCAGGAGGCCGTGCCTACCTTACCTTGTACATACTGGGGTGCAGGGTTGTGCCCGTGGGTGCCACGATGGGGTGAAGGGTGTCAGAGGGGATCCCATTGGGTCCCGGCAGGCCCTGGTCGCCCTGTGTGTGGTGTGACAAAAACAGTTTTAAGTGAGAAGGAAGTGCAGCAGCAGCACCCGTCAGGGCCAAGCCTCATAGTAGCCACCCCATGTGGCCCTCGAGTGCCCAGTGAGCCCCTCTTGCTGCCCCTGCCGCCTCCTCGGGAGTCCAGGAGGTTTTCTTTACCTTTTCACCCTTTTCTCCATAAAAACCAAGTCCTCGGTTGCCCTGGGAAGATAAGTGGCTTCTGTGAGTTTTTGAAAGGGTCACAGTAAAATACAATTATATTTTTAGAAAAAAAGGAACTGGACCTCCCTGTGTGCGACACTATTGGGCCCACATGTGCACAGTGCTTGGAGTGTCCCTCCTGGGCTGGGGATGCCAAGATAGGGCCCAGCTGTGCGACTTAGTCAGTTGTCCACACTCGGCCAGGCTGGGGCTGGGGCTGGGGCGCCCTCGTTGCCCCAGAGTGCGCCCCAACTACTGCAGCGCATTTTCTCTCTCCTTTTGCTAAACTCATCCTAACTTCACATAAACACTTCTGATCTTTTTGGTGATTTGCAGGGACTTAGAATGAATCAGTTTAACAACGTGAATGATTCTTTGGGTTCAATCTGAATTTTCCTCTGCCTCCGGCCTCAGCGCAGGTCTCGCTGCGCCTCCTGCAGCAGTGCACAGGATGCACTTCCGATCCCAGGCCCTCTGTCTTCCCAGGTGGACAGGGTCACCGGGCGCTCAGCCTTCTCCATGCAGCCAGCTGCCCCCGCTGGTCCACAGAAGGAAAACAAAGCCCTAACCAAGTGTTTGCTGTTGCTTCTTCCCCACCTGGCTGGAGCGGAAATCATAGCACAGAGGAGCAGCCCCACGTTCCGGAGCCCGAGGCAAGGCCACCAGGAAGTGACCGGCTGGTGAGGACGGTTGTTTGGGTTTGCGGCAGCCTGGGGAGATCTGAGGCTGCTGCTTGTCTGTCGGGGGCCCTGCCGACTCTGGCTGCTCTGGCTGCAATGGGGAGCGGCCCTGGCCTCAGGGGCCGGGAAGCCCAGGCACTGGAGGGGTCGAGGCCTGCAGACATGGGGAGGTGGCTGCTGTGGTGTCCATCCAGGCGGGTCAATGCGGCCCCTGGACTTCCTGCTGTACCCCAGGGTTGCTAACATAGGTCAGGCTGATCAAACCTTCCCCACTAGCCTTGGCCAGCCTCCCTGGTCACTGTGAACCCCAGCTCTGTCCTCTTTAAGTTTCTGACAAACCAACCGTGTGGCCGTGCTTCCACCAAGCTGGCCACCCCTGAGGCAAATGGCCCAGCACCAGGCTGCAGCTGGACCTCAGGGTCCAGCAGGACCTGGTCACATTCAGGTAAGATGATGTCACTGTGTCCCCTAGACAAGCAGAGCCATATCCTGCCCATCTCGGGACATAGCACTGATCTAGGCCACTTACTGTTTGTTGTTGTTAGTTTGAGACAGTGTCTTGCTATGTAATTCATAACTATCCTTATGTAGCCTAGGCTGGCCTTGAACTCCTGGAGAGCCTCCTGCCTCAGCCTCCTGAGTGTTGAAATTATAGGTGCATGCCACCACATACTTACTGAAAATGTAACATTTCCTTCTTGCTTTCTTTTCTTCTTTTATTTGATTTTTGAGCTTTGAGATGGTCTTGTTGTGTGGTTCAGACTGGCCTTGAACCCACTATGTAACACAGGCTGGCCTTGAACTTGTAGAAATCCTCCTGCCTCAGCCTGAGTGCTGAGATTATAGGTGTTCGTCAACACCCAGATTTTTTTTTGTTTTATTTTGAAAATGCTACATTTCCAATCAAAGGTTCACTGGTGTGATTTTCAGAGAGCAACAGGAATGTGTTAATAGACTGGCACTCAACAAGCATTTGACATCCACACACAGGGACCAGGAACCACAGATATACCCCTGGCCCTAGGCTTGCCATTGACCATGAAGTCTTAAAAACCTGCAAGCCGCCTCTCACATAGTCTAAACAGCAAACAGCTGTCAGCCACGTCACTGTTGGGTGAAAGCGCACACAGCTGGCCCCTCCCCAGCCCCATCCCAGCAACTCACCGGTTGTCCTTTCGGCCCGGGGGGTCCAGGGGGTCCCTGCACAAACACAAAGATGTTGGCAGGCTGTCTTCTTTACCCCAGGACCCAGTGATGTCTGCCAGGAGTCCCAGGGTGGGCAGCTGGGGCGGGCGGGTCAGCAGCTCCCCGACTGTCGCTGGCCCTACCAGCTGTCCTGCTTGCTCCTGGGTGCTTGGGCCTTGGAGGTCCCCTGTGTCCTCATCATACCCCTCTGTGAGTCCCTGCCCTGTGGCCTTGGTGGCAGCTCCTCATTCCTCTGGGCCCACAGAACACTAGATGCTCACTGGAGACCTAATCTATGGAGCAGCCCTTGGTCACGCCGGGTGACACTGATGAGCAGGGAGTGGGGGCCAAGGCTGTCAGGGCAGTGCAGGGCCTGCTTCGGATTTCCCTGCGCTGTGTTTTAAAGAGCGAAAACCCCAAGCTATGAGGGCTGTGCTTTAGGAGAAAGAAGGACCAGCAGCCGTAAAGAGTGAGGGGTGTTGCTGGGTCTCCTGTCCACACAGACAGGGTCCTCGCCACACAGCTTCACGCACCAAGATTTGCTTTCTAAAAACAAAAATCACTGTTTGCCCTTCTTAGGCCCTGAAGGAAGAAGCTGTGCACCCAGCCCAAATGTTAGGGCGCTGGCTGTGCCGGGCACCCCACTTCTTAGGCTCTGTTGGGAAAGTGACACACAACCTCTTGGGATGCTGGTCCTGGTCTGAGGCCCTCTCACTTCTGGCCAGCACCTCCCCTGGGCAAGGGACCACACATGTCACTGCTGAGTAGGCAGGGGAAGCCATGTGCCTGCTGCCCTCTCAGGGTGGCCTGGGCCCTGGGAAGCAGCTGCCTCGGCACCCTCTCCTCCCCAGTGGTTCCATCAAAGCTGGGGTCCCTGGAATGCTGCAGCCTTCATGAGAGGCGCAGGGAAGATCTGTTAAATGGTGCCCAGCACCTCCGGCACCCTGGTGGCTATGGTGCCCATATGTGACACTGCCTGTGCCCTGCTCTTATGCGATGGCCATGGCCTGGCTTGGTGGACTCAGGACTTTCCTGCTCTGTCCAGGGTGACAGGACTTTGCCACACAGCTAGGCACAGGTCCAGGTATGCATACTCATGCCTGGCTAAGGGTCCAGGCCCAGATCAAAGGCGATGCCTCTGGCAGTGAGCCTGGGACTGAGACCCCAAGCCCTCGCCTCCCCAAACCCTGAGCAGCAGCCAGGCATGTGTGGAGGGAGGCTTGCTCTGTCCCGGAGGAGCCACAGAGGGCCCCGTGTCCACGGTTGTGCAGCAGCAGTGTCTGTGGATGACACGGCCCAAGGCCCACAGGTACTCAGTACTCACCGGTCTGCCTGGGGCTCCCACTGGACCCATCGGTCCCATAGGTCCGGGGTGGCCGGGAAATCCCTGTGGACAGAAAAGGAGATTGCATTGAGGGGAGAGGTGTCGCAAGCACGGGGTTCCAGAGTTCTGAACATTCGCTTGGACAATTTCTAATCAAAATCAGACTGACCTTGGGGCCGATCAGCCCAGGCTCTCCGGTTTCACCCTGGTGGAGAGGACAAGGGTTCAAGGTTAGCACTGTTGAGCACCTGGATACTTGGCATCATCTTGCTGAGAGTCAGGAATGGGCATTCAAAATCCGCCAGTCTATTGGGACGCCATGACTTTTTGTTCGGCTTGGGGCTGGGGCACCATAAACATGGGGAACGGTGTGCCCCCAACTAACGCAGGACTGAAAACACCCCAAGTGGAGAGGATGGTTATTCCATTACTCCAAAAACTCCTTTATCATGTTCAGCCCTACACAGATTCCCACATGGGTGAGAATCTATACAGGGGACCGCTTGGTTCCACCTCCCCCTTCCCCCACCTCTGGCTACGTACCCTGTATCTGTCACGTTCTTCTTTAGGCAGTGCATAAGGTTCACCTTTCTGGCCTTTGGGTCCTTGGGGTCCCTAAATTAGCAGGTATGTCGTAAAAGGAGAGACACAAGAGAGACTGTTAAAACTCAGTGTCACCATGGTGATTTGCACAGCGAAGTTTCCGTCTTTGCAGCCAATGCCTACTTGGCCCTGTGGCTACCACAGTGGCCCCGAACACCAGCCTCTATGTTCAGGTCCAGGAGTGGAGCTGCATTCCACGCTTCCCCAGCAGTATCCTTGCTCAGAGTTAAAATGGAAATGCTTCATGGGATTCTCTTAGTTTCAAAAACCCAAATGAAGCCTCTCCAAACTTGTCTTCTAGCATATCATTATGTTATTTTTCTTTGGAATGAACATAGGTGCTGTCTTTGGCATTGATCCTACACTGTTAGGCACCTGTGGTGGAGACCCTGGGTTATTCCTTAAAACTGGAACTATGACCAGTATAGACAGAAAGTACACAGTATTGTACAGTAACGGATGTGATTCTTGGCTAGGGAACTTAGGGTAGAGTGGGGACCAGTGTGCTGATGGGAAAACTGAACCACGCAGAACAGAACGGGACCTCAAAGGTCACAGAGGGTTGGCTCATGGATCAAGCCAGGAACCAGTGGACAGCAGGGTCTGGGGTTCAGTGTGGAGAACGGGAAGGGGCTCTTGGGAGAGGGCGGGAGACAGTCACACAGACCAAACACAGCAGCTTCTATCTCACGCTTAGGGAAGAGTGCAGCTCCTTGAATCCAGGGCCAGAGGCCCTGAGCACTGCAGGGAACACAGGAGGCTCTGCCTGACACAGTGAAAGGGGCCCCTAGCGGGAGCCCGAGACCAAGTATCCCACCAAGAGGACTCCTGGGACACCATCCTCCAGGCCCCAGCCTGGGCAGTGGCATGCACAGGCCATAGCAGCTTCCTGATTGTGCCCAGATTGGTGCCTACCTCTGCTCTGCCCCCCAAACACACCCCGTGCCCCTACTCACAGGTGCTCCAGGGAAGCCCCCCGATCCTGAGGGTCCCTGCGGGCCAGTGTCACCCCTGGTTCCATTGCAGCCGTCGTAGCCAGGCCTCCCCCTGGGCCCACCTTGGCCCGGGTGTCCCTGGAAAAGAGAAAGCCAGGTAAGGGGTCAGGGGGACGGACTCGGGCCAGACTGATGGAGGAGCAGATGCAGAGACCAGAGGCAGCAGGGAAACACCTGGGCCATCTGCCTGGCTCCTGGGGTGGCTGTGTCATGTAAGGGATGCGTGAGGGCAGCTGTTGCTTGCTGCAAAGGGTCCTAGGCGCCTTGGACACTTCTGCATTTCAGATAGCGGCCGGGACTCACTTGCCCTGCCGAGTCTGCCCACTGTATGGCCATGCAGAGATCAGAGTTCCAAAGGGAAGGGAACTTTGAGGTTTTAAGCCCAATAGAAAGTCCCCTGGATGTCCGCTGGAGCCAGGGCAGGCCTGGCCAAATTGGAAGTCTCCAGTTCCTTGGGAGACGTGACCACAGCCGGCTCTGGTGTCCTGTTTGTTCTTCAGGTGACAGATGCCCAAGTCTGTGTTTTTGATTGTGCAATTTCTCTGAAGCCCTGGATTTCTTGATAACATGTTGCAGAAAGATTTTCCAGGCCAGTAAGACATCTGCTAGATTTCCTTTGAGAATTCTGGAGAATTTCAAGAGTGAGGAACAAACCCTATGCACCGTGCCTTGTGCCCTGGATGGTATTAAGAAATATAAGGAGGAAAGTGGAATTCTTCTTCGACGTGCATGGCTTTTGCTTCAAAGGCGGAAGTCACTGTTTTAAGCCAGGCAGGGAGGCTTTTGGAACCGGAGGACCTCAGGGTTCTGCACTGAACCTATCTGCAGGGCCACCGGTCTGTGGCGCTGGAAACAAAGACAGCAGGACACCAGGGACCTGTGAGACGGGTCTGGCCACTTCAGCCTGAGGTTCTGCCTACTCGAGATCAACTATGTTCTGTGGTGCTTTTGCTTAAAATGTACCCTCCTTCCTTCACCATTTTCTGGATCATCTGCCTGCACTTTCTCATCAGAGCTTGAAATTGGGTTTCCAAGAAAAGCTTTCCTCACCTGAAGTGTGCAGTAGGATTTCTCAGCATGTCTATACAGGGCAACTGCAGGCTTTTTCTGTACGTGCTTTGCTTTTTTTGATATTGGGAATTGAATCCAGGACCTTGTGCTTTGCTCGTGCCACTGAGCTATATCCCTAGCCCTTCGTGTTGCTTGTTTATGATTGTTAAATGATGAAAATTACAAGGGTCCCCTAATTCCACATTGGTGACTAGACCAATTATGACAGGTGAGCAACTCTGCGATCCTGCGGGAACGCTCCTGCTTGTCTGCACAGTGTAACCGTTTCCTCCCTGAGCAGAGAACTATCTGCTCCCAATCAAGTCGGTTCACAGCAGAAACATGAATGGAAATGAGGGACAGATTCCTTTCCATTTTTCTTGTGTCTTGCTTTAAGGTTTCAAGTTTCCAGAGACAACCACTGTACGGTCCAGAGTCAAAATGAAGCTTAAACGCCAGTGACTTATTTTCTTTTAGTACTGGGGATCGAACTCAGGACTGCGCATTTGCAAGGCAGTGCTTCTTCCACTGAGCTAAGTCCCCAACCCCAATGACTTATTTTTATGCCATCTTTAGGGAAATTCCCCACTATTGTTTTATCCTGTGTCTCCAGATCCCAGCACGACCGCTCTTTCTCTCTGCTCCTGGCCTTGTGGTATGACCGAGTCCCGCTTGAGGGTACCTTAGGGGACACCAAGGTCCCTGGCACAGACGTCTTGGACATCATGACTTCCTCCATCCTCCCTGGTTCCTTGTACTCTTACAGGAGTCTCCTTAACATGAGGCAGGTGTGAACTCTCTTAGCTCACTGCCTCTGTGTACACAGCTGTGCATGTGCGTAGGCATGTGGGTGCGTGTGCATGAGTGTTTGCTAGGTAAATGTGTGCATGTATGTACATGTACTGCACGGGTATGTGCACATGTGAACATGCATGCAGGGTGTTTGTGCATGGGCACACATATGCACAGGTGTGCGGCAAGGGAGAAGACACACAAGTGGTTAAGGGCACGGACATCTGTGTATCTGTGCAAGGCCAGGGAAGCTGATGTCTGGGAAGTGCAGCCGCAGACAGGGGCAGGGGAGGGTGGTGCTTGAGGACGCGTGACAGACACATTTATCCCGAGGTCAGCTCTGGCCGGGAGTCTGGCCTGGGAAAACAGCGATCCTCCCTGCCGGGAGCACAGTGAGTCAGGCAGTTTGGTTTGTTATTTTATGCCACAAGAAGTAAAGTAAACTAGGTTAGGAAAACACTTTTATTGCATTTTGAGATTTTTCTCATGAACAAACCATGCCTTTCCTCTTGCTCATGCCCCATGTGGTCACCAAGGGACCCGGGCTGCTCAAATTCGGGGCTGCGTCCTGTCCACCCTGGCTGCCCAGGGTCCCAGTGATACTGCTGCCTCCTGCAGAGTGTGCCCCACGCCAATGCCAGTGCCTGTGTGACCTAAGGCCCAGGGTTCCGGTGTTTGTGTGGAAGCCACCCTGCCTGGACTGGGATTCCAGGGAAAACCACTGTGGAGCAGCCTAGGGTTGCGCCCCGAACCACAAGAGTTCTCCAGTTCTCAAGGCAGGCAATGCTCAAAACCCCAGACATCCAAGCACTTACCGGAATCCCGTCAGCCCCGGGGAATCCAGAGACGCCTCTTGGGCCCTGTGAGGAAGGAGAACGAGTTAGCCAGGGCCAACACACCCCATGTCCCTGCAGCAGAGCACCTGGGTGATGTCCTTACCACGTCTCCTTTAGGTCCCGGTGTCCCAGGAGCACCTCGTTCACCCTTGTCACCTTTGCGGCCCTGGAGCCCTGGGAATCCTTGTAGTCCTGGAGGCCCACTGAAGCCTTGGGGACCCACTGGCCCGGGCTGACCCTGTAGGACAACACATATTCAGTTTCATGATTAAAGCAAGATACCTATGGTGCACACCTGTAATCCTAGCACTCTGGGAGGCTGAGGTAGGAGCATCACAAGTTTTAAGTCCTCCCTGTACACTCTTGATTTAGTGAGATTTTTGTCTTAAAATGAAAAATAAGAAAGGGCTGGGGATGTAGCTCTGTGCAAAGGCCCTGGGTTCAATCCCCAGCACTGCAAAACCCCCAAATCACCCATCTAAGATACACATTTCCAGGCACCACTCTCTTCCACACTCTGTTCATTCTCAAAGAGCAACGATCTTCAGAGAGCACTGAGCCAGCCATCTCTTCCACGGCAGCTGGGACAGAGTCCTGGCTAGAGAAGGGCCCGCGGAGTTTCTGGGGAGAAGGAAACTTGACCCTGGGTGGCTGATGCCATGTCACCATGGAGTGGCAATACGGGCTCCCTTCTATGTCTTTCTGGTGTTGAGATTTGAGCCTCACACAGATGTGCACGATCCTATCTCTGTTTCCTTCCCTGGATGTGTGTGGTAAGGCATGGAAATAACACAGCATCTAGGCAGCAAAGCCTCGAGATGTTTACTTCTGTTTTGTTCACACAGGAAAAATAAATAGTTATGCAGTGTGGAAAATCATCCACACCCATCAAGGTGGTGAGCAACAAGGGCTTGGGAAAATCAGAGCCCTGAGCGCGGCCAGCAGGGGAGAGGCCAGGGCTCCCAGGGTGACCTGCGGTGCTGTCCCTGGTCTCGGCTACCCAGCAGCCTCGTGGCAGACAGAGACCTGGGAGGGGGAGCAGAGGTGCAGATGGCTCCACACACCAATCACACATTTGTGTGATTGGCATGGCTCCAGAACCATCCACAGACGAGTAGATGCAGTGTCCAGGACAGAGTGGAGTGGATGCCCCCTACTGCAGCAAGGAGCCCGGGATGCCTGGCAGGGGTGAACGCAGTGCTCACTGGAACCTGCAGGCACCCTGTTTGTGTGCAGCAAGGAGGATGGGACAGGGCCGGGTGAGGAGCTGAGCTGGGGTATGGGGGGCACTGGAGGCCCAGCTTGAGCTTGTCCCCTCAGTCTCAGAAGACCTAGTGTGTGGGAAGGTGGCCTTGAGGGGCAGGGCTGGGATGAGCGACCCAAGGCTTTGTACCTCATCTGAGCCCAGGGAGCCTTGGAAAAGCTGCCCGGGTGCCCTCAGGCCAGGGTGGGTCTGAGGTCCAGATGTGTGGGTCCTCTCTGTCCCCAAGTGTTCTGGGTGAGGCCAGAGGCTGCAGTCAGCATCATCCCTAGGGTGTCCTTTGGGTGGGGGTGGTGCTCAGTGGGTGCGGATCTCCTCTGAAGGTGACGGAAGTGTAACTGGATAGAGTGGGGCTGCCCACTCTTGTCATGTCGTGAATGTTGTGGATGGGACACTTCAGGGTGGTCAGTTTTGTGTTCTATAGATTTCACTTCTGATAAAAAGGAAGGGGGCTGCATGGTCAGAAAAGAGAGACTGGAGTTTTCTTCGGGATCCAAGCCAATGTCTTTAGCTGTGCTGTCTTGGCTGCCTCCATGTCCTGAATGGATTCAAAACGTTTCCCTCTCACGGTCATCTTGACTTTGGGAAGAGCCAGAAGTCACGTGGTGCCAGATCCAGAGACTGAGGCAGACGAGGATGCAGCATCCTGTTAGTATAGTGCTTGGCAGCAGTCACTGTATTGTTTATTACATGTGATAAAGACCCTCAAGAGAGAGCACTCCGGAGCTGCTGCAGGAATCGGCAGGACAGCGGGATGAGTGTGTTGGCAGAGAGGGCTCTGAGGGCAATGCAGCTTTTACCATGACAAACTTCAAGCACATTAAATGTTAGCTACGCTTTTGATCGTGACTGCATCCTCTGGCAGCAGCCCTGGAGCAAAAGTGTGACCCTGGCTGATCGCCTCTGTCCTCAAGACTGGGGCACAGAGCAGCCCTGGACTCCAGTTGGGGTGCAGGGAGCTCGGGGAGCAGCACCCTTAGGCGCCATTTGCTACACAACACCTGCTGTTCCTAAGAGGAGGCCACACCAGTCCTCCTGGGGCTTGTGGGGAACGTAGATTCCCAGAGCCCATCACACCATCTCGGAATCGAGGTCTGACCCCGGGGGTTAGAAAGTATGAGAATCACTGTGTGACACCACAGGTTTCCCCCCTTGGCTTCGGGTTGATAAGGGGAGCTGGGGGCACTGTGGGAGTGAAGGTCTGGAGCCAGGTGGCTCCTAGCTAGTTCCTGAGTCTGGGTCCAGCACAGGGAACACGCGTCCTGCTGGCTGGCCATCAGTTCTAGCTGCATTTCTCTTGGGCATGTGCTTTGGTGACATCTTCAAGGCAGAGCACATTGTGGTCCCTGTGACAGGTGCCACACTAGGCTCAGCCGGCACTGCTGAACCCACGGCCATACCAGAGGCCCACTGCTGTCCCACCAAGCACTCCTACATCTGGGCACCACGCTTCTGAGCACTCAGGTGGAGCAGGAGCCACAGTGTGGAGGGCCCAGAGTCACTCTGTAACATTAGACCTGAAAGGAGAGAGGCCGGTGACCACGCAGGCTGCAGATCCCGCCTGGTGTCGCAGTGGTGTCTGCCTCTACCCAGAGCTCATTAACCCTCCAGCATGCCTGGTAAAGAATTGAGAGCTCTGTGTGTCAGAGAAGATGAGAAACGTTTCCAAGAATAAACTCCGAAGGGCAGCTCTTTCCTGGTAGAGCCGAAACAAGCTTGCAGTGACGCACAGGCTGCCTCTGAATGGTAGGAAGCCCGTCCTCCTTCCTCAGCTGGCTCTTCCTGTGTCACCTTCCATGGGCACCGGCGACCCCAGACAGTCCAGCCCTCACTGTGGATCTGCCCTTCCTGCGCTGGCTCAGACATGCCAAGGCCAAGGGTGGCAGTGCTCCATGATCTCGGGGAATTCCAGACTAAGTCCCACTTGCCACAATCTGAAAATATGGTTTCCCAAGGCAGGATTGTTCTAGGACCCAGGAAAACAATTCTCTGTCCAAGATTTGGAAATGTTTACACCACTTAAGGAGGACTTTTATGTCACGCTGCTATGCTGGGGGGGGGGCGGCGCTGGGCCAAGCTAATTCAGGTGTGGACGTCGGTGTTTATCCTTTGTATCTCATACACAATCGCCGTCAGTAATTGTGTATCTCATACACAATCGCCGTCACAACTGCCTCTCCCTGTACCACAGCACCCCGAGGTGAGCCTGCGTCTGCCTCTGGGAGCTACACTTCCTTATTTAGCAGATCAGGCTCCCTGCCACTCTGTGCTAAGGATTTGCTCCATGGGGTGGAATCACGTGATCTTCTCATTTCCCCAGTCATTTGATGACTGTGGTATTAGGGTCCGTATAAAATCAGTAGCATCGCCCTATTTGGAGAGGCGAGCCTTCACCCTAACCTCCTCTTCATATTGGCTTGGAACAGAGCGTGGGCCCCAGTGAAGGAGCCAAACCCACAACACAGAAGAGGGCATTGGGGACTTTTGGGGGTCTGGGCTAGTAAAGGTTTCTTATGGAAGCAGAGATCGCCATTAAAGCAAACAGCTGACAGGTTAGAAAGCTCGACTGGCAAACGCACTGGGAGAAACAGACGTGAGACAAGTGTTTGCTGAGTGGCTTCTGCCTCGAATCTGTGAAGAATCCCCGAAGTCCCAGACTCTACCGAGAAATCTGGCAGCAGACTGAGCAGACATCACCAAAGGGGAGCCTAGGTGGGAGCCAGCATTGGGAAGATGAGGGACGCGGCTGAAGGAGGGAAAAGCAACTGACCGTGCAGACCAGGCGTCCCTCCAAGCACAGGCGGGACGGTGACATGGGGACTACCGCTCAGCGTGGCAGACGCAGCAGCCCTGGCTGGGGAGGGGCTCTGTGTGTCCCCTCGATGCTCTGAGTCACCCAGCAGTGGCTGTCCTGGCTCTGTGCTAGGGACAGGACAGCCCTGTCCACGTGAGGCCTGTGTGGGAACGTGTGCTGGGGCTGGGCAGAACCCCGAGCCAGAATGTCTGCAGTGCGGCCAGCGGGAGCATGGTGTGGGGTGCAGCCGTGGAGTGAACCCACACTGCACTCGGAGGAGGAGCCAGGCCCTGCGCCTGAGCACTGAGGTTTGATCGTATGACGTTCTAGAAGGGGCAAAACTGAGGATAGGAAACGGCTGCTGCCAGGGGCTGCACACGTCCTAAGCCTGCTCTCTGCAGGGCTTGGTGGCTGCCATGGCTCACTGAGAGGCCCAGAATCTGAACCCCCTTGGCTGGACCCAAAACAGACACAAAAGACGCTAATGGTGGTAGAGAGGAAGGCGGCGGCCCTGATGCTCTCTGTGACCCGGTCCTGTCTTCCTGGCTTACAAGGCAGAAGACATTTAGCAAAGAAAAGAGCTACCTGCATCTCAAAACCCTCTGCCCAGGAGGCAGATTGACAAGAAGCAGTCAGGCTAGTGGTGCAGTTCGGAGCCCAGGCCATTGGAGCAGGAGACGGGGTAGTTGGTCCTGCCCCCTCAACCTGTGGAAGGCCCGAGCCCCAGGGTGGGGCTCTGTAGTTCTATCTGAAGTGGCTTGGAGAGACTCGCATTGCAAAGCAGAGAGAAAGGGCTCCAGGCCTCCATTCCAGTCCCCCCGGAAACTGAGTCAAGCAGGCAGTGCTGGGCTCTTGTCCTCCTGGCCCTGTGCCTGCGGCCAGTGGGGCTGTTGGAATTGGACGCGATGCTGCCAGGCATTGGTTGGCAGCCTGACTTTCTGGGAAAGCCTCTTGGCATCCGGGCTTCAGCAGTAAGCCCATCTCACCCGCCTGAACACCAACCTTGCCTAAGAGGCTGGCCGGGTTCCTTGGGCCCCCTGGTTCCCAAAGAGACCACCGTCAGGGTATGGAGGGCGGGAACTGGAGCAACTGGACCCTTGGACTGGGCTGGGAGGGCGGAGACCCTAGCAGCACTGCAGGGATGCGGCACGGCGGCCTGTGACCCAGGACCAGCCTGCTGAGC